TATGTACTCTTGGTCAAACCAAGAGTACATAAACCAGAGTGTGCAACTCGGGATGGTTCCTGTGGGAGCGTAATTCGTGCACTACGTCATTTCTGACGGCATGGTAAGCCACAGGTACGGTGAAAAGTTGCGTAACCAGTCGCGGTGGTGCAGTTCACTGAGTTTGTCCTGATTTCGGTTTTTTGAGACGGATAGCCTGGTGACTTTACTTGTCGGTGGATGTACGCAGCGTACACAGTTACACAAAACACCGAAATCCTGAAACAGGACGTCTAAAATCAAGCAAACTTGGCTGATTTCCGGGCTATGAAACATGAAAATTTGAGCTGTACGCAAGTCGCGGCTTGGCTGATCTCATCAGGGTGACGTAGTGCACAAACTGCGCTGTTTCAGATCTGATATGCACAGTTGCACACTCTGGTTTATGTACTCTTGGTCAAACCAAGAGTCCATAAACCAGAGTGTGCAACTGTGCATATCAGATCTGAAACAGCGCAGTTCGTGCACTACGTCACCCTGATGAGGTCAGCCAAGCCGCGACTTGCGTACAGCTCAAATTTTCATGTTTCATAGCCCGGAAATCAGCCAAGTTTGCTTGATTTAGACGTCACAGTTTCAGGATTTCGGTGTGAAGTTTGTGTGACTGTGTACGCTGCATACATCCACCGACAAGTAAAGCCACCAGGCTATCCGTATCAAAAAACCGAAATCAGGACAAACTCAGTGACCTGCTACACCGCGACTGGTTACGCAACTTTTCACCGTACCTGTGGCTTACCATGCCGTCAAAAATGACGTACTGCACGAATTACGCTCCCACAGGAACCATCCCGAGTTGCACACTCTGGTTTATGCACTCTTGGTCAAACCCGTTACTTTGAGTTTTCAAGTTATAGTTCAGAACTTTTTTTGCAAACCGCTATGCTCTTCCAATTTATTGTAATCAGTATGTTTCTGAAGTCTATTTTTCCACTGAAAGCAAGCCCTAACAAGAATAGCATTTCGGCCAGGTTTTGCCCCGAAAGCACTGAATTGGGGAAAACATCCTGGGTCACGGGCAGGCCGTTCAAATTTCAAATTTCGCAGCACTGTACTGTGTACAATAAAATCACGAAAAATCGCCAAATACGGGAGCTCGCCAGAGCCATGGCCCATCTTTTTAAGAATGGACTGTAGTCATGTACAGCAAGAGTACAATGAAAACCAGTTTTCATGCTCTTGCTGTAGTGTAGAGTCATCTCAGTGGTCGTGCACATGTCAGTACTGATACTGTACCTTTTCAACCAGGGAGTACTGGTAGTAGTAGAAGTTTTTGACTACCATATTTTCCCGAATATATTAAGTCGACCTTCTGTGCGCCAGAAATTTCGCCAAAAGCTGGGGGTCGACTTACAAACGGAACTCGACTTACCATGATACGGGAACTTGATCTGGCACAACAAATGAAGTGACTGGAGTGTCCGTACAAAAATGCACTACCGTATGTGGCAGTTGGCAGCACAGTGGCAGTTAATTAACATTGAATGAACATTGGATGACACCGTGACTGGTTTTGTTCAGATTTTGTCTTACTGGCATGATATGATCTCTCCTCGCAGAGAATTCATCAGGTGTGTGTGCCGGGGTGTCGGAGCTATAACTTGAAAACTTTTTTCATGAAATTGACTCCTGGATTTGGGGTGGTCGACTTATATTCGGGAAAATACGGTACTTTTGACTACACTTGGTCTACATTGAAACCCAAACCCTGAGAACAGATCACAGAGTCTGTAAGAACAGATACTGTAAATATATGAAATTTCGGCACTTCACGATTTTTGACATTTCGGCGGCGATTTATTTTCGGCGTGGGGTAGAGGGCATGGTATACAGGTATAGTGCGACAGATGCTGTGAAAAATTTCATCGGCGTTTTAATTTAGGCGTTTTGGGTCGGTGCCGAATATAGCCGTAATTAAATAGCTGCCGAAAATTTGTATATTTACAGTAAGACACTCAGTTAGCCGGGGTATGAAAATAACTATATTAGCATGTATGTGATGAGCAATGCTCTAACCATCTGAGCTATGGTACCAGGCCAAACCTAGAAGGTGTCGGCAAGTGGGGGAGGGAAAAAGACCCAAGTGCCATCAGATTGTGTGGCACGTGTTGTCGGAGCTGCCTTTCAAACGGGAGTGAAAACTTGTCAGCGCCTTCTAGATTTGGCCTAGTCCCATAGCTCAGATGCCGGTTCACTACGGAACATTGCTCATGATAAGCAAGCTTCCGGGTTCGAGTCCGAAGGTTGGTGGGTCTGGTACCAAGTTTTTTTCTCTTTTCAAGCAGTTCACTTCCCTGACTCAGTGATCCTTTGAAGTTCTCCCAGTCCTTTGAAAGTTGTCATGTACATGTACAATCATGTACATGTACTTGTACACTTTTTTAAATGTACTGTGATGTACATGACTGCATACATTTACAGCACATGTAGCAGGGGGTCCAGCGGAAACTGAGTTTTCTTGTGTGGTACAGCAACCATCGGAGGTGCACCATTATTATCTGAAAGCTTGACCGGATGTTGTTATAATCGGACAAAACAGTAATTGTATTTCATAAATTCACAGGGTACCCGTAGTAGGGCAAAAAGTGGCATGGTCAATACCGCAGTAACCGTAGAGTGTCCGGCTGACACACCTGAGTAGACACTTGAGGTCGGCTCATGTACTTGAAAAAGTCACATGACGGAGATTGAGTATTGACACAAGCAGTTAGATGTGAACTCTTTAGCTTGAGGTATATAGTTCAACGGTATACTTCAAGCTCAAGAGTTCACATTACAATACGGTACATGTAGCAGCACACTCAATCTCCGGACAGCTAGCTGTTTCGACCTTCTTAGGTCTCATCAGCGGAGCTCAGAGTGACTGGATGAACCGATCGCAATCAGAAGTTTCTAATGAACCGCAATGATTGAAAGCATCCCAGAGCTAGAGCTGACAAATCAACTGGCAGAAACAGTCGACCAACCAACCGGCCAAGGCCACTGCCTCGTCACTGAGCGCCAACCCTCTGAGCCGACGGCGAGATGCACCGTGGCAAAGACCTTAAAAGTCGACTGTCCAGGGAACAGAGGCTGGTGCTAGATTTCCACTCCAGACATCAAACTTTAGAATTAAAACGCTATACTATAGGACTGTGCTGCATGGTGTTGTCTCGGAGTCTGCTTCTGATTGGGTAGAGCAAGCACTGTGAGCCAGCATTTTTAAAGGCGTAACATCACGGTTGCAGCGTCACAGTGCACAGTGATCCAAGATCACGGGTGGTGGGAGTGCTGCACAAAGGGCTCAACTCACGGTGTTCCCGGCTAGCTGCTGCTGCTGATCATAGATTGGGCTGGATCAGTGCACTCGCCGGTGACTTGCTGGGGACTGAATAGCCCCGATCAGTCTTGGGTGGTACCAAGAGTATAATTATAAGCTCCCAGCTTATTTACTCGGTGGTACTTACATGTACATCATTGAAAAATAATGTGGAAAGGCCAGGGGCATACAGACATTTCAGCACCAGAATGGGAAAGTCTCGGTAGCAATTGAATACAGTAGAGTTGCGCGCTGAAGAACGTGGAGCCCAAGAACACCCAGCCTGAAATACTAATAACGCCACAGCCTACAGTTAAAAACGTCGGTGTTGGATTTCTGTGAGCTTGTGGGATACATATATGGCTCAGTACGGATTGTTTCTAAGAACGTGTTATAAGAACGCAGCCAGATTGCTTCAAAAAAAATAAGAACGTCCCAGGCTAGCCCCTTAGAAACAACGTTCTTGGGCGCGCGACTCTACTGTAGAGGCCATGAACCACCTGACCACAGTACCAAAACTTCTCAATGGCTGTTATGTTGAGTGACACATGCCGCAATAGACATTTTATTTGTATCAGAACTGAAGCTTCAATACCTTCTTCTTCTTTGGCTCTGGAGCATAGTTGGTCTGCGCCACATCATACTTCCTGGACATATCGCGTTGGGATCGTACGAGTGCCATGATTGACGGTGACCGGCGATGTTGACCACTGTGCCTGCTGCAGTTACATCAGGAATAGTAGTATTAGTACATTGCAGGCAGCAGCAGGATGTTAGTGCAGCCATGATGCATGGAAAATAAGTCGACTCCAGATCAGGGAGTACTAAAATACTACAAGTACTCCCTGGTCAGACCATGACTTCCTGCATCAAGATTGATACAATCATGAACAGGGAGTAGTACAATACTTTAAGTGTACTACTCCCTGATCATGAACATACAACAAACTCACCTACAACAAACTCACCTCCTCCTCCATGAACATCATGCGCCTTCTCTACAGTCAGACCTCGCACACAACCGTTTTCCACAAAAATATCCGGATAGGCGAGGGAACCGGATAATCGAACCCACATACTATATGTATGCATGGCATATGCTGTAAATCGGTAACCAACGATTTTCTTCCAGATGGTGAGGGATCCGGATAAAAGAGGACCGGATAAGCGAGGTCTGACTGTAGAATGATTGCAATACAGCATAAACATGATGCAGCCATGCAACAGTATTATTTTTGTGGTGATTCGTGATCGACATTAGGACCGTGACGAGTCGGGGAGTTGTAGTAACTTGTACTGGTACAAATGAACAATGTCATTGACAATGTCATTGACAATGTCATTGACAATGTCATTGACAATGTCATTGACAATGTCATTGACAATGTCATTGACAATGACATGTGCATGGCTGCGATCAAGAGTGCATGAACACTTTTCATGTACTCTTGGTGCGACTCGTCATTCTCTGACAGCCGCATGCCGCGCAGCCAGCGTTGCAAGTGCACACACAAAGAAAACCGCACGCATGTACACCCACACAACTCTGAAGAAGGAACACAAAACCAGTACCAGGTTTCCCAGAGACCTCTCTCAGCGCACACTTTAAAATGTTCTGGCAGAAATGCTCCTTTTTCTTGTACACATAATCACGACTCCCTGATCGTGGCAAGCCAAGGAAGTCACACAGCACTGAACTGTAGCCATGGCAATGCACATCTGCTGCCATTGAAAACACGGAGAAATAAAATTTAATGAACCGAGTGGAAGAACATCACTACTAGTATAGTACTACCTACTGGTACTACTACTACTACTACTACTACTACAGAGTCTACTACTTCTACTTGAGAACGGGTATATTCACAACACAGCCTAATACTTCTACTATATGTAGTAGTGTCAGCACAGTTGTGACAAGGATCAAGATGCATGCATTGATGGCGGGTGGATTTCGGTACAAGTCAGCCACGATACAGTTGTAGTTACTACACTAGCATTGTACTCATTGCATTAAGAAAAGAACTCACGCCATGGCAGCGATCCATAGCCAAAATTAATGATAACCGAATCGGGCAGCAGCCATATGCATACATCAAGTGCAAGTAGCAACGCACGCAGCGTATTGAAATACATTGTATAATGCTTCCGTAGCAACGTCTACATGTCTACATGCAGAATAGTAGTCATGTCTTTGGAGCAAGGCATAAATGTACACGCATGGATCATGTACATCACACTGTAGCAGCAAAAAGAGGTGACGGTTGAGCAGCACCAAAACGAAAGCAAAGCGCACACACTTGTCAGAGGTGATACAGTGAACACCTAAGTGAAGCATGAAAGAGAGCAAAGAGCAATTTAACATGCATGCAACACAGAATGAGCAAAGAGCAAACCGAAAGACTTAACAACAATGGGAATAAGAGGTCAGTAAGTTGACATATGACACAAAAACAACACAATGATGATCTGAGTGGTGTTTTTATCAACACTCTCAACAACACAAATCACAGCTGGTTATCACAATAAATCAAACAAGCTTGTTCAAAAAGGATACATTGCAGACAGCAGCAGCAGCAACAACACCAGCAGCAGCAGTAGCAGCAGCAGCACAAGACAAGACAAACACTATCCCTGAAAGAAGCCAGGTGCTTGGAAGGGAAACTGTCCTTGATGCTGATGCGGAGCCTGCTGCTGCTGCTGTTGCTGCTGGCCTGGGGTTTGAAGAAGAGGCTGGCCACGGCGCGTGCTTGCGGCCTGCTGGGACGAACTCGCAGGCGCCCCATGCCGATGCTGGTGAATTGACTGCTGCGATTGTAAATGCTGTGGATGGACATATTGCTGTTGCTGCGGTGAGGCAGCAGCAGCAGCCAAAGCAGCAGCATGGCGTGGGTCACTGGCCGGTCGTACACCAGCAGCGGCTGCAGCGGCGTGTCGTGGGTCCGAACTCGATGAAGACTGCCTGGGATCACGACTAAGAGGAGTAGCACCAGCACCAGCAACCGGCGCCAGACCGGTATAGACTAAAGTATGGCCTGCTACAGCGGTAGGTGTCCCGGCAGCAGTAGCACCAGAAGCAGGCATACCACGCACACCTGCAGAAGCTCCGTGTATCATACTAGCCTGCACAGAGCCAGAACCAGCAGCAACATGGCTGGGCGGGATGCCTCTGCTGGTGTATTCGGGTATTTGCTGTTGCTGCGGTGCCTGTGGCACGAGAAATAAAAGTACAAATCAAAATAAGTCAGGCGAATGGAAACCAGACGGTGAGTGTTCGGACGACACAGGCTCTCTCTCTCTCTCTCTCTCTCTCTCTCTCTCTCTCTCTCTCTCTCTCTCTCTCTCTCTCTCTCTCTCTCTCTCTCTCTCTCTCTCTCTCTCTCTCTCTCTCTCTCTCTGTCTCTCAGTCTCTGTCTCTCTCTCTGTCTCTCTCTCTTGCTCGCCATGCAGAAAGAAAGGTCACCACATCTCATGTTTGTGACATGGTAAGCTGCATCCTTTCGCACATGTGTACTGTATCTGAATAGACATCTTCAATATCACCAGGTGGAGTTACTGGAGTTTGTGTACTACATTGTTCCACTGTAGAACAAGTTTAATCCATGTCAAACAGTTCTACATCATTGGTGTATCTCCTCCTCTCACTGGATGTAATTGTTGTCTCATTCCTTTCCTCTGATCCTCACCTTATTTGTTTTTTTTGTGGATGCCTGGTCAGATATTTTATCTGTTCTTTGTTGTCGCTTCTCTCTCTCTCTCTCTCTCTCTCTCTCTCTCTCTCTCTCTCTCTCTCTCTCTCTCTCTCTCTCTCTCTCTCTCTCTCTCTCTCTCTCTCTCTCTCTCACACACACACACACACACACACACACACACACACACACACACACACACACACACACACACACACACACACACACACACACACACACACACACACACACACACACACACACACACACACTTGGTAGAGTTGATTTGTAAAAATAAGCGAAAAATGTCGGGCTAATTTCTCATATTAAACTCGGATGGAGAGCCAAGGATTAATTTTTTTTAAACTTATAGTCCTCTCCATTATTTTAATTTCTCATAATGGCCCATTTTGAGCAAAATAAGTGGTAATTTGAGCAAAAAATCCTAAAAAAGGCCAATTTTGGGGTGCTCATTACCCCACAACATTGATGGTGACCAGCTACTATTTTTTGGCCATTTCATCACTACATGGCACACTGAAGACATTGCATATGTCACATCCCAAAAATTTCAGGCCAATTTGAAAATCTGGTTTAGTTTCCAGCTACCTTAACCCTTTGCGTGCTGTGCTGAGTACGAGTTAACTCGCGCTTTTGAAGTGCGCTGATCCACTACGTACGAGTTAACTCGCAAATAAATTCGCGCGATCATCGCAGTGCACACATCAGTGTACAAACTGTTGTAACTCAGTCAAACATCAATGCACCGCGACAATCAATACACCGTTGGAAAGGTCTTGACCTCATCTTTCCGCGGATATAAAGAGGTTCGCGATAGGATAAAGATTCACCGAGGGGCGACAAAATGAAAACGGACATCACGGCCCAGAGCGAACGCGAATGTTTTTGTTCGTGACTTCGCAGTTTTTGGGAGCGCGCCAGGGGATTTCCCTTTGGCACAACACATGCGTGATGGACATCAAATGAAGCGCTTGGATCTCAGCTTTGCAGCGCAGTTTGAATCGTGAAAATTGGTTGAATTTGGACAAGAAGCCAAACAAGAATGTGAAATTGAGTTGGTGTGCCGTTCCGAGGCACGGTGGAGTAGTTTGGAGAGGAGTTGGAAGTGGCCCTGATGTGTCTATGGAACTGAGAGCTGCCAGGATGGATTCGCTTGGTCCTGATCTTTCCAACGAGCCCAGGATGATGAAATCCATCAAGGTGGAGTGAAATGAGAATAAATTTGGTTCGGAACTGTGAGCGCAAATCCACCCAAGACAGTCAGTGCGTTGAAAAGCCAGTCGATTTGTGCAAGCAAAGGGTTAAGTAGCTACTTTCTCAGCAGCTAGTCATCTAACTTCAAGCACAAGGCAACCATTCGGTTGGTGAAAACCTTGTGCCTGCATACACAATAACAAACTTGAGTACCTACCGGCTTTTGAGCAGACTGGAGGGCTTGCTGGCGTCGCTGTTCAAAAGACTTTGGCTGCGGTGCGGTTGCCACTGCCCCTGGTCTTGGTGCATTCACCATGGCCGGTAGACATGTGTATGCTGCAGCGATACCACCACGAGTTCAACAAATACACCACACAACCACCACTAATCACTACACCAAAAACTACAAACAACAATCTGTCAGAAGAGAAATCTGCTCGGGTACAAGTAACAACAACAACAACAACAACAAACTGTTTAACCCACAATCTCACCTTCTCATCAATTTATCTCTTATTGGTGATGGTGCCATCGTGAGAATAAAGAATTCAAAAAAAAACAACAACATGTTGTCATGCCAAAATCTCTCAAACTGTAAAAAATAATCTGCTGCTGGTCAGAGAGTCACAGTGATCTAGTGTTTAGCACTTGAAGCAAACAAGGAAACACTTTTAAGGGTATGGAAGTGTTTAAAAAAAAAACACTTCCATTCCTAAGCCAAACAATAGTCAGCATGCTGTACATACCATAAAATCAGTGACAATACCCCCCCCCCCCCAGAGCATGCATGTGTATAGAGTGGTTTCACATCTTTGTCATGTGGAATTTGTGTAGAAAGTGGACATGTCATGTGGACAGTGGATGGACGACATCACATGACCCATAGATGCAGGATCTAGGAGTTGAGTGGAGTTAGATCCAACATGACTGCCCTGTATGGCCATGTGATAGATGTGAAACCACTCTGTAGTGAAATACCGGGATAGCAAAGCGGATGACAACATCGATAGTTGTGCTGGGGACATCGGCGGTGGCGGGGGTGACGTCATCGTCGGCGGCGGGGTGGTGGCAGCAGTGGTGGGGGGGGGGGGGACGTTAACGTCGGCGGGGGTGACGTCATCGTCGGCGGCGGGGTGGTGGCAGCGGGGGTGACGTCATCGTCGGCGGCGGTGGTGGTGGCACAATGGACAAAGTAAAGTAAATTCTATGATGGGTGAAATCCAAAAATCCAAACCAAAAATGGCGATAAGGAGACAACTTACTGCCGGTGGTCTCCATCCGGGGCTGAAATTCCGGATTCGAGTTCAAATAGATACACAGACGGCACACAGGAGCAGAATACAAAATCATTAAGGGTGGTGTCGAATAATACATACATGCAGTATTACGTACATCTCATTGTCCAGACCAACATTCATGCACATCGAGTAGCATTCAGATGCGGCATTAGGAGGTACATTTCCCACCCTAGTTACGGCGGTGCCAACTATTATGAGGTTCCACTTTACAGCGCACACGCTATTCCAATAGAACAGCACCAGCACCGTATGGTCAGTACATCACCATACCTGTGCAGAATCACCACCAACATCATCATCTGCATCCGATAAAGGCGATACCTTCAGGCCGGGAAGGCCAGCAGACCTACACACAAGCAACATGCAAGCACACGCACGCATGCACAACGGCAAATACAGAGAGAGACAGACAAATACTAGTGGTGAGAGCAACCTGTAGTTAGTAACCACATCTCCGAAAGAGAAGATATTTGGGCAGAGAGAATGAAGACATACAGACAGACGGACAGACAGGGTGTCACAGGGCACCGAGTCCAGAGCAGGGATTCACAGCGCTTACCAGTGAACTTCGCCATCATGACCAGATGAGGATAAGCTGAAATGGGACAAAAGAAAAGACAGTGTCATGCCGTAGACAACCGTAACAGAACATCACTAGAGCTGCTACCGCACTCTACTTCGCCCTGTTCACTTTACCACCGAAGTACATGTATAAGCCGCACCGGCTTCTTTGGGTGAATTTTGAGTGTTCAATTGCAACTTATACTCCGGAAAATACAGTACATATCCTCATCAAGGGCTTGGCGGACAGCTTCCATTCGCGACCAGCGACTCTAGCTTGCCATACGCTGGCAAAGAGTAAAATTCACTCCAGGGCTCCAGCCAGGGCGAAAAATCAGCAAGAGTCGCTTGCGGATGACAAAAGTAGAGGACGACGCTCTGCGGAAACCGGTCTGGGAGCTGAGACGCCTGACCAGCACCAGAACTTGAGGCAGCAGCTGACAATCCCACCTGCTGTTTTAGTTATCAACGGTACAGCCAGATCGAGTATCTTTGTGAGCAAGACGTTGCACAGTTTGTGGTGTTTTACGCAGGGCGGGTATCACACGTGCGGTTGAAGTCGACTTGCCCTATAAAAGAATATAAAAAAGATACTGCATATGTCCCATTGTTGCACAAGGGGTATACAGCTGCTCGTAATCAAGACATCACATACCTGCTGTGCATTGACAATCTTCGATTATATAGTGATGTATCTGTGCAGGTGGACACAAGTACAGGCAAACAGTCACACAGAGCACGTGATGCAGTACATGTACAGGCAGCTGCTATTCCAGAGGATCAACTCTACCATGTTCACCAATATATTGAAAGAAACCTGCAAAGTAGCATTACAAGAGCGACCTGGCTTGCATGCTAAGCAGAGAGGCCACGAGGCGAACAGAGACAAAGACAGAACACACAGCCTGCACTGACCTTGTGGTGACGGAATATCCATGTCGGGACTGACAGGCTCGTACACAGGTGCAGGCTTGGTGGACGAATGGGAAGATCCTTTCACAGAGCTGGTTGCTGCTGCTCCAGTGGAGAACAATGGTGGCGGTGCAGAACTTAGATCTATCTCTGGGGGACTGGCACATGCTGGTGGAGGTGGCTGGGGTGGTGATATGTTCATGTCGTCATCCGGCAACGGAGGAGCCGGCGGTGATATGGGTGATCGGGCAAAGTTGTTCGGGGATAGCGGGTTGCTGTTACTGCCTGTGCTATTATCTCTGTGGAACATCAGTGGACTACGCGGTGCACTGGACGTCAATGGTGTGAGAGGCTGGCGCACTTCTTGTGTTCGCCGTCGATACTCCGATAAACTGACCTGGACAAGGAGCAACACAAAGGAACACCGGTAGCATTAGAGGCACTGCATGCACTGCACTAGAATATGGCATAATACTTTAACCCTTTATCGACTGAACTCAACGTACACGGAGAATAGTACCCTCAAGTAGTTTATGTTGAATTGGGCGTAACTTTGGTTTCCCTGGCATAATTGGCATCATCTTGGGTATCCTGGAAAGCCCCTGACGAGAGGAACACTATGCACCCAAACTCAATCCCATAGGATGCGCTTGACCAGCGCTGCAAGCCAGCGAAGGCGTTTCAGTGCGGGGCTTGCGCTCTAGATTGATCTCCATCCGCCATTTGCTTTCCCTGCTCGTACAAAGCTGAATTTTTGTAGGCACTCGCGGGAATCTCTGTTTGAATTCGAATGAGTGTATCCTTGCCAACTGCCGATAAGTTCAGGGGAAATCTCGGCCGTTCAGTCACGCATCGCGGCCCTGAGCGCCAATTGACCGTGACGAAAGATACGGGTGTCGTAACTCACGCACCGTTCTTCCATCGCTTCGGCGATTGTTCGAGAAGACATCTAAGAGTTTTCTCTTCTTCCTACATATTTCCTTCTCTCCAAACGACTGAGAATTGACCAAATAACGATAGTTTGAAAATATTCGAAAATGTAGAATTTATCGATCATCCGTGTTCGATAAAACTAATACTGTAAACCAGCCATTATTCTAACTCTGGCGCATATATAACCATTTCCCAAAATCGACTGGTTTACGTGTACCAAAGATAACGATTTTCACTCATTCTCAGCGCTCAATAGGACAGTATATGTATCGACTTCTGTGTAACGATTTCTATTTTAACGACAGATTTCTCCTCATTAACTCGTTAGAGTTAGCACTTCGTTATATATATATATATATATCTTGATTTTATATATATATATATATATATATATGACTTTTACAGTATGCCTTCCGTAAAGAGTTAAGTGCCTGCCTGAGCATGTGCTGTACGCGATGTGCACGATAGCGTTGATCCAATCTTGATTTTATTTTCAATGCAACCTCATTATCTTCCCTATCTCTTAATCCGGCAAAAATCCTACATGTAGGATTTCAGCCATAATTTTGTACTTCAAAGGTTGAGAACTTCATCATGAACATCTTTTTTTCTTTGTTTTAGCTTTATATGGGGTTGCTGTGAATCCTAATATGGGTGTCCATGTGTTGTGCAATCTTAAAAATGCCATGTGGTGATTTTTCACTCCAATTTTGGAAGAGAGGTTTGGTCAAAATTGTGATCCTACATGTAGGATTTGACATCTAGTTATTGTTTTCTGGATTTTCTTTGACCATGGATGATCAAGAAAGTGATGGTGGTGGTAGTGACATAGATGTCATTGATACTGGTGATCAGGACCACAGAGAACATGATATTACTGAAGTTGCAAATGGAGCATGGAGCAAGAGGAATGTTGAATGTTTTGGACGTTTTCATGAAGAATAGATGTCTTTCATGTTGAGTGGTAAATTTTCTTCTGCTATTTATGGATGGCTGATGTCCATGCTGTTCATGTTTGTGCATATCATGATAACAAGTTGTTTTTTCCTTCCACAATAGGCCAAGTAAAAAAATTGATTGTTTATCGTCCGCGCCCGCCCCAAATTTTCACCCTCCCCGCCGAATTATTTTATTTTTTAATACTGGTAAATGTACTGTATGTACTGCGGTCTACAGCCTCTAATCAGCATGGCCGTAGATTTTCGAAGGTCCACAGACTGAACCATAACTTAGTTGCTATGGGCTTGAAAAGTGAAATTGATCATAAGCTGCCTGATTTTCTTCGTTTTTTTCTACGTAACGTTGGTTGTTCCACTTTCCATTATCCTCTGGGGTTGCGAACACCTGCCCTACAGCCATAAATGCATAATAAAAAAATTAAATTAAAAGCCTCCCGTCCGCCCCGATTTCTCGGGAAAATCTGACGATAAACAATCAATATATTTTACATGGCCATAAGTCCAATTATATCGAACAAAAGTTAATCCTACATGTAGGATTTGGTGTGCCGGATTAAGAGATAGCTATCGATATACCAGCTACTAAGGGGTCTCTGTGCGTAACATCAAGAGTACATAACCCCCAAGAGTGTGCAACTGCCTGCACAACCTCTATGCTGTGCTGTGACGGCAGAACTTCACATCACGTGACATGGTTCAAAAGGTTATGCTGGCAAACAGTGCAAAGTGACCACAAGAGAGTTGTACCCAAAGCTGGGCTGCGTACAACCCTGTATCTATCATGCACAGAGTGCAAATAATGTGTACGGGTTCATCACGTGATGTGAAGTTCTGCCGTCGCAGACCCCATAGCTGGAGTTGCACACTCTTGGGGGTTATGTACTCTTGGTATTAAACATAGTAAGGCATCTGAGAGGTACGAGACCGACTTTGTGATAAATCTTAGCATCCACTTCCAGCAGAGGTAGAAATCAACCTACCGGCACCAAAGCAACGTGAGTGGATTCTTCTTGATTATTTATTGATTTTATGCATACCATTTTTGATCGTCTCAGAGCTGTACCTTTCATGCTGGTGATGCACTCCGTTCAATAGACTAATTTGAAGCATTCCCAGCTAGCTGTTCTCCAGTCCAAACCATACAATATATACAATTATACTTTGAAGTACATGTATACGACGTTTTCTTTCAAGCAATAGAACTCACGTTTTCCGTCCTTTTCAGTCTGCTAAATGAATACGGAATCAGGACATGCCTGTCTGAGATTCGACTCGACATGATTTCGATGCCGAAACCCGTGTATTGGAAGGAGATCGAGCTAAATGCTGCTCATGGAAGGTGAACCGAGACAGACTTGTCCGAATCCATCAATGTCCAAGCGAAAGACCAGGCGAAAGATTCTGCAAGCTCAAGTCCAACTGCTGCATCACCAAGCCGCTGAGGCCGATAACCTACTGAGAGGCACCCCAATGGCGAGAGAGATAAGTTCGCTTCGTACAGTGTTTCGTACAAATGTGAAGCGTTATTCTATCAACTTGAACCCATAGGGTAGAAGTTTGAGGTTTCAAAAAAGTGAGACAAAGACGATGAAAAGGAAGAGTAATTTACCTTCTTTTTGGTAGGGGCTACAACGGCAGGCACAATCGGTGTAGCAGTCCCAGTAGCCGTGGAGCCAGTCACACCACTTGCACCAGCGGCGGAACTAGCAGCGCTACCCTTACTGCTACCTGAGCCAGCAGTCGGGGAGTCAGCAGACAAACGGGAGCGAGGGTCAGACAAAGACGAACGAGCTGGTTATCAACAGAAGTCCAGGGAAAAGAATACAGGAAATCTTTTGTCAAGGTTCATCCCATGTGATGCTTTAAAAATCATCACAGGCAGCAATTACTGTAGCAGCAGCAGCAACCGCAGACAACACGAATAGAAAAGCCCTCACTAGCTCTCAAAAGTACACTCCCAATGGATTATAATTGCGCGTTGACAGCTGTAGCCAGTTAGAGCAATCCAGCAACATCACTAGTAGATGATGAAGCCGGGAAGATATCCGGGCTAGTTTCTTTAGCTACCGTTTCTAACACCAGTGACATGACACACGACGGCTACAATGGTGGGAAAGGAGGCAGCGGACAATGCACAAAGATAGTGGAACACAGCTAGAGCAATACAATTAGGACTACACTGAGAAAGGAATATGATGGCAAACCACTAACAGCTTACATGAAGACCGCCGGAATTCCACACCAGCTGCAGTTGGAGAAGTTGCATCTGAGGGTGGACGATGCTGCGCTAAACTGCCTAAAATGCAGGAGAAAATACATAGAGACAGACAGGACTGAGCACATCTTAGATTCGGTAGTGTACATCAGAAAGCAGTGTTTGAAACAGGGAGTAGTAAAATATCGGGAGATGGCACACCACTAATCCTGATTTTTGAAGCCTGCCTCACAACATGAATTGTTTGGCAAAAATGGCAAAAAAGGTGATCTGTCGAATTGATGTTATTGTTGAAGAACTAATTCCATGCAAAGGCCTATCCACCTGATGGAACAGCCTTTGTTTCGCTTTTGTAATACACCTGGCCCTGGGTCATCGTCGTGTGGAAAGGCATCCCCGTTGCAAAGTTCATCCCAATCGACGGGATGGTCAAAGAGAATGAAGTTGATTTTCTTGAGTAAGTAACGTGTACTGGCGTTGACGAGAGAGTGCACCAATTTAGAAGTCAGATTTAGCACTTGGACCCAACATGATCCGCACTTTTGTTCTACTCAGTTGTGATGAATCAGCACTTTTCTCTCCCTGCTTTGTAATGACGAGCATTTCATATTATGGGATACTGGAGATTCGGAAGTTCACTTTTAGGAGTGAAATGTTCTCAGGTCCGTCAAGGATTGAAATGCAGCTACATCGTCGTTATCGGCACAGAAGAATTCACGACACGCAGGAATACCTCCCGAAGTGATACCACTAAAGCCGGACTCCTATCGTGATCGTTGACGATGAAACCTTGCAAAGACAAGACAATTGTTGGAAATGCTCAGCGCTGAGTTTCTACAGGCTGTAGCAGGAATCTCTTTGGGAGTAGGTATCTTACTACAGTCAGACCTCGCTTATCCGGTCCTCGTTTATCCGGATCCCTCGCCATCCGGAAGAAAATTGTTGGTCACCGATTTACAGCATATGCCCTGCACACATACAGTATGTGTGTTCGATTATCCGGTTCCCTCGCCTATCCGGATATTTTTGTGGAAAACGGACGTGTGCGGTTATGCGAGGTCTGACTGTACTCCCTGTTTGAGCGTATCCTGCCGCGGATCGATCACCTTCGCTGCCAGGGAGACGTACCACCTGTGCGCTGCATACTTTGGTCACATTCAACACACGTCACAGAGCACCACGCATCATTCAATACTACTACACTTATAGTTTCATGCCCATAGGTTATCATCAGACATCTGAGTCTTACTACAGTGCTGGCAACTGAATCCGACCCCCCTAGCGGTGCGCTAGCCGCGTTAGCGATTCGTACGAGACGCGAGGGGGGTCGGATTTCAGTTGCCAGCACTGTAGGATCTTAGCCCAATCTCCCCTGCAGGGTGAACAAGGTTCGGAGGCAATCATCAAACTGGTCGCGGATGCTCGAGTCATCTCCTGGCATCTTACTACTCCCCGGTTAGGAATATAGTTCAAGCAATTCAAATACATGTACATATAGCATCAGTGACGTTTCTCACTGAGAGCAACACCAAGAGTGAGTGCAGTCAGAGTTCTAAAAATAAGGTACTGCACCCCCCCCCCCCCCCCCCCCCCCCCCAATACCCATACCCATACCTATACCGGCAGCAGCAGCATTCGTACCTATGCCTGGTGAAGAGAGGTGCGGAGAAGTGAGCGGCGAATGAGAATATAACATCTGTGGCTGACAGGACGCTGCACTCTGAGCTGAAGAAGGCACGCCAGAAGTACTAGTGGCGACAGCAGACACTGACGAATTCGAAATAGGTGTCTTAGCAGCCTCACGGCTCTCAGGCACCACTTCGATCTTCGTTGGTGACAGCATTTCCACCTCCATAGTTGCGGGGGCAGAAAGCTGGACACAAACAAGACAGCCAAAAACATGAACATCAGTGCTTCATGACGGCTGCATAATGCTGTTCAACATAGATGGGTGGAATTAAATGATGAAATACACTTGGGTAGACACTGAGAGCAACCACAGTATGCACAATAAAATTGAATGCAGATCGAACATTTACTGGAGTATTAAAATAGTAACAGACTGATTCCCTCGGCGTAAGAACGCTATCCTCTAACGATAGCACATTACATGTAGTGGTAAAGTACTGGGAATCGAGTTTGATGTAAGAGCAAGCTCTACCGCATCTCGGCGCTATTATTAGTGCAGTACTGTGAGTGCATTATCACACTTGAACAACCATGATCTGAATGTGTGCACTTGACTTGTGCTTGACTCGTACAAAATGAACACGTAAAAGAGTTCAATACGCACATGAGCGCACAAACACGCGCACTCTCAGTCTCGGACTTTCCCAATGACACCTATCCACACACAAACCTACCGCTATTGGCAACGAAATGGGCTGGGTGGCCGGCGTTTCCGCAGGTTCTGGAGATCCCATCATGTCTTCCGACACAGGACTCAGATCCTGGTACCAATACAAATAAACAAGAACACACGTCAACATAAGCGAACGCGTATAATGATGGGGTGCTACAAAGGCTCACACGCCACGCAGTGTGGAAGGGGGGGGGGGGGGGGGGGGGAGGGGGAGGGGCATATCAAGATATCAGTTGAGTACTTGACTAATCTTGAGTACATCCATATCGTAAGTGCAATGAGCTTATCTCAGAGTAACACCTCCATGGTGGGAAGGAGGCAGTAGAGAAGGTGTCTTACATGATAGCTCGCGAAGTCTGCACACACACACACACACACACACACACACACACACACACACACACACACACACACACACACACACACACACACACACACACACACACACACACACACACACACACACACACACACACACACACAAAACTAGGGCCTACCTCATAGAGTTGAGGTTTCGTTTCGGACTCAACAGCACTGTCAGTTGCGTCTGGTGATGCCATAGGTGTGTGAGAAGCCATGGGCTCCTCTTCCGTATCAGAAACTTGCTCCAATTTCGCCCCAGCTGCTTCTACGCTTGGTAACTCTTCTGCCTCTCCATTACTCTGCTGGCAAACTTCCGCTTTGATGGCAGGCTCAACAAGCTTGTCACACTTTGCATCAACAGAAGCATGAGAAGATTCCTCGATGACCATTTTCTCCTCCATATTCGTTTGATCTACACAAAGGGAATAAAAAGGAATTATTTATGAACTCAGATGCTGAGCCAATAATAAATTTAGAAAGGAAAGGGACATATGGATACAGTTAAGAGGAACTGTCCACCACTGTAACTAGATACTACATACAGTCAGAAAATGCAACAACTTTGTCAACTAGGCACGAAACTGACAGAGAACTGAGACATTCAACGACCTGACACCTAGCTCCAACACGTCTCCGAAGCGCTGTTGGTTAGCGACAACATGTAGAGCACTAGGCAGGTACACAATGAGAGTAAGCCAAATTCTAACACTATTGGCTACTGACGAGAACCTGTCACGTATACAAAAGGAAATATGAACGATCGCACTCAAAAGGAAGTGAACTCACACAAGATAGTGTGACACACCGGTGGCGACACTGTACTTAGTGAGACTGGTAAAACCATTCCCAAACTAACTAAAATGAAATAAAATAAAACTTACCAATGGCTTCTTCATTCACCGTTACGACTTGGCTATCTTCAACCTTCACTTCAACGTTACCATCATCTAGCTTTACTTCAACATTGCTATCGTCAACCTTCACTTCAACATTGTTGCTATCCTCAACCTTCACTTCAACGGTGCTATTGCTGACCTTCACGTCCAGCATGGGTGACTCAACTGCTGCATTCGACTCTGGGGAAGAGGCGGCAAGAGCAGCATCCAGTGTGGTGACCGCTTCCGTTGTTGTACTGTGCGGTGAGGTGACCTGTGACGAGGTGGCTACAGGAGAACCAACACTGCTCTGTGTAGCCAGGATAAGTGGACTGGGTGGAGGTTGTTGATAGGTTTGCAGCCACCGCTATGCAAAGGAAAAATCCACATGCACACACATGCACACACATGCACACACACACACACACACACGCACGCAAACACATACATCAAGTATTCTATCACGTTATACTGGTCACATTAACCCTTTACTGTTTGTACGCACAAATTTCGACCGCTCACGGTCGATGACTTCTATGCGCACAGCGCTGGAATGGTTCACCTCAGAGAGCTGGGATTTTCCCTACTGGTAGCCAAGATGTACGCGCAGAGGGTGCCAACAATATTTTTGTGTGATGCAGTATAAAAATCGCAGAATCGCGACTTGAAAAATGCGCTTTGGGAAAAGTGCGTACCCTGCGACTTTTGGTATTGCCTGCAGATGTTTTCGACTTTTGCTTGAGCTGGCCTCGCGACTGTCTGCCTTACTGTGCAAGCCATGGGCGCGGAGCAAGCTCTTTAGCTTCTGGAGACCCTTCCTGACGACCCGATCGCCACCTCATCCAGCGAAGATGAGTTTGTGGAGCCAGACGGTCCTGTTGAAAATATTTATTCTGACGACAACAGCGACGATGACATGGCGAGTGAAAGCAGCGCCAGCGAGAGTGACATGGATGTCACAGACAACGACAGTGTCGCGGATATAAGTGCTACTAATGGTGGAAGGGGACGTGGCAGAGAGAGAGAGAGAGAGAGAGAGAGAGAGAGAGAGAGAGAGAGAGAGAGAGAGAGACATAGAGGATTCGGCCGTGGAATACGCTGGTCACGGTATAAAGGTTGTGGTGTACAGGTACTAGGTACAGCCAGCGGTGCAACCTGCACTAGTCAATATTTGCAACACTTGGGACAATACTGACACCGCTGTGACTGGTAACACTCCTGCATTCCACCCACAGAACGAACCTGGTATCCACTTACCTGAGGGAGCCACTCCAGTGCAAGAATCTGATTTATTGCATATTGCAACAGTTTGCCCGATCGGCAATAAATCCAAACAATTATTAGTGCTAAATAGTAGGGCCTTAACGATTGCCCATTTTGCCTTAACGATTAACCAATAACACCAACGATCGATTTATTGGTTTTACCGATTTTCCGAACAAGTTTTATATGTGTCATGTTGGATATCAGTATACGGCAAAAACGATTAAATTTGTTCAACTAATAATAATACAGGTACGTATGGGTGAAAGATCCACACAGGCCCAAAAAAAGACCAAAATGAAATTTGCAACGTGATATGAGCAGTGTTCCTCTGCCATTACACATCAACGATCAGTCCTCTGTCTTCTTCAATGGAGAAGGGTCGACTGGAATCGGCAATCCAGTCGATGATCGACTCCGTCAACATGCCTGAGCACCTGCTGTCGCTCGTTCGCAAGTTACCTGTGCCGAAGAACGACGTGACGGGCTTCATTCCAGCACTGGTCGTCGCATTGTCACTGCGCTCAACATTGCCGGTAGCCGCCGTTGCTGTCGACTGGGTTGCTGGTCCTTTCCCTACCGCAGCGGCGTACTGGTCTTTATGAGCAGAAATCCGGTGCTGGAACAAGTTGGTTGTGCCGCTTTGACGAACGAACTCGCAGCTGCACAAATTGCATCTCGCTACGCTATCAGCTTCCTCGAAATATGCCCAAGCTGGCGATCTCTTGGTCAGACTAACTTTCGCTTTTCCAGGCGGCAGCATTGTCACTGCTCTCCTCGCCAAAAAATCAAAACTAATTGTAAGGTTTTCACAAGAACGGAACAAATTAAAGGGGAAGTTAAGGCAAAAATTAAAATTTCACCAGTTGTAGTCTTCGGGGTGCTGAGTCGAATGGTCGTGGTCCGAGGAAGCTGAGACGCTCCCTTCCTACTTGAATCCCAATCGAACTCGCGCACTTCCACCGAAACTGGGTGACTGCGCCCTACTAGATGGGGATTAGTATGCAAAATGTCACTAAAAGCGCCATTTCGTTCTTATAAAAGCACGGATGACCGCGATTGGCCCATATGTTGTAGTCTTTTGGACGCTGAGTCGACTGGTTTTGGTCCGAAAAGGCTGCGATGCAGCGTTCCGCCTTTATTCCCAATCGAACATGGTTGAACAAGCGGTCACGTGCTCCTGCGTACACCAGTCACCTGGTCACCGTGCCTGCAGGGTACAACTTACTAGCCTGTTTGACCTTTTTTGGGTGCAGTCCTGTCACTCGAGTTGAACTCGAGTTGAACCTTGGTGTGAAAGTTGTCACCTGCTGGCGTGGTGACCAGGTGATTTGGGCACCCAGGAGCACGTGACCACTTGTTCAACCATGTTCGATTGGGAATAAAGGAGGAACGCTGCATCGCAGCCTTTTCGGACCAAAACCAGTCGACTCAGCGTCCAAAAAACTACAACATATGGGCCAATCGCGGTCATCCGTGCTTTTATAAGAACGAAATGGCGCTTTTAGTGACATTTTGCATACAAATCCCCATCTCGTAGGGCGCAGTCACCCAGTTTCGGTGGAAGTGCGCGAGTTCGATTGGGATTCAAGTAGGAAGGGAGCGTCTCAGCTTCCTCGGACCACGACCATTCGACTCAGCACCCCGAATACTACAACTGGTGAAATTTTAATTTTTGCCTTAACTTCCCCTTTAAGAAGGCCGGCAGCCACACTCACAGTTTCGCTACAACCTAATAGTAATGAAGCTTTCCGGTTGTTACATTTTCCGGCTACGCTGACTAGTGCAGTGAATGCAGTAACTATGTACGACTACGAGTACCCAAAAAGGATCAAGCGCCCAATGATTGTACGGACCTACGGGGCTACGGCTTCATGCACGTGTACTTCAACGTTCATGTACTTGTTGTGCGCATGACACGCGGGCATGATGCCATGCATGGTCTGCATGTACTGACGTCATTACTGCTCTCACACTGTACAGTCATAATCGTTATCGATCATAACGATTATCGATTTCATCAAGAGTGCATAAACAAGAGTATGCAACTGTGGTTATGGCCCAGTGCGCGGCGCGCTGCCTTCATTACGTAACTTGCCTTCATCACGCTCTGAAAGCATGCATTCAAACTCACAATTTCTCGTACGAGCCCATCCGTTTTTGCTCGATTCGTTCCAGTAGCTACGCGATCTCTGAGTTATGGCGCGTGAACTCCAGTTCCGTACGAAAGTTCATTTCAAACCAGAGGGAAAGCGCGGTGTTTGATTTTCCGCAGTGCGCGGACTGCAGCTGAATGATGTAATGAAGGCAGCGCGCCGCGCATCTGGCCCATAGAAAAGAGATCACAGTTGCATACTCTTGTTTATGGACTCTTGATTTCATCCATAGCGAGTGATATACGAGTAATCGGTATAATCGTTTCGGCCCTACTAAATAGTGAAATTTTTGTTCGTTTTCTGGACTTGAAAGTTGTTGCATCGCATTCCTGAGGGTTTTTACTTTCAGAATCACCCTACGTTGTACATAATAAAAGTGAAAAATAGAGAAGTTATGGCATGAACAATGTTTTTGCTGTACAAATACCTAAAACGGTATAGGGTTAATGAGCAAATATCAGTGTAGTACTGGCTACAAGCCGCTGAAACGTACATAGCTACTATTGAACAACCTCGAAAAAAGAAGAGAGAGAGAGAGAGAGAGAGAGAGAGAGAGAGAGAGAGAGAGAGAGAGAGAGAGAGAGAGAGAGAGAGAGAGAGAGAGAGAGAGAGAGAGAGAGCCGGAGAGAGAGAGAGCCGGAGAGAGAGAGAGAGAGAGAGAGAGAGAGAGAGAGAGAGCCGGAGAGAGAGAGAGAGAGAGAGATAGAGAGAGATAGAGAGAGATAGAGAGAGAGAGAGAGAGAGAGAGAGAGAGAGAGAGAGAGAGAGAGATAGAGGCTACAATAGCAGCATTCACTCAACTGCACAGCATTGCCATCAAGGTATATACATCTATCTGTAGTGCAACTATACTCCGACACACTGGACCGGAAGTACTCTCTTTTAGATGCAGGTAGTGAACCCAATATAGGTGCAAATAAATAAGCGCCCATAAAAGGGTACGGAAGGTTTCAATGTATAATTATATGTCAACTAGCAGCACCACCGGCCAGCGTTGCCTGGCCGAATGTGGCATGCGGGTGAAGCAAGTACATGAACAGCACACGTGCTCAGCACGTGGTGGTGGCCAGACCGCTGAAGTCCTGGTGAGGGAGGTTCTTCATCGTTGGAAGGAGAAGGAGGGACGTCTGTTACGCCTTCGGGAGGCTGGTCAGGGTTGTCCATCACCTGGTGGCGGATGAAGCGGCTCAAAAAATTCATAAACTTACGAACAAAAGTGCGATGCGCTCTTCACTGCAGATCAGATGCAGAGTGCAGTCAGTGCAGATCTTTTGTATCCTTTTGTTGCAGATGTTTCTATTTGCAGAGAACGGTTCACGTGGTCCGCAGCGCTTGTGCGGCTGCTAGTGCTACCTATGGCCTAGGCTAGGTGGCTACATGATTCGCACGCTTCGCGTGCTCAGTGCTTCTGCGTGCGGCTGCTACTGCTACTTGTACTGATATGATCGTGTCTGCTACCACCTACACTGTTCGCACGCTTCGCGTGCTCAGCACGTGGTGGTGGCTACACGATTCGCACGCTTCGCGTGCTCAGTGCTTCTGACTGACTGAAGTTCTGTGGCTGCTTCCGCTAGCTACACGATTCGCACGCTTCGCGTGCTCAGTGCTTCTGCGGCCGCTAGCTACATGTACACTGTGCTACCCTGTTCGCACGCTTCGCGTGCTCAGGGCAGCGCTGCTCCGCAGCGCTTCAGCGTGACACAAAAACACACGTCACAGGTGCCTCTTCTTTATAAGGAGCGTGACACACACACACACACACACACACACACACACACACACACACACACACACACACACACACAGACACACGTCACAGGTGCCTTTTCTTTATAAGTAAAGATATATAATAAAGGTTCAGACGGAGGATTAGGCCATGGCAAAAAATAAAGTTGATTCTCAGGTCATGAGCCTGTGAAAATCGGTGCGAGCGAGCGATTTTTTATTTTACTTCCCACAATTTTTTTATTTCCAAAGATAGGGTCACACATATGTACATGGTCACATGTTCATTATATTCAGGCCAGGGAGTAGAAAAATACCGGTATTTCACTACTCCCTGATTCATGCCTTTCGCATTGACCGTTTTCATGCACGCATATGCATGCATAGAATTAAAAAAATCGTCGGTGCACCGCCAAAAATCGGTGCGCGCGTAGTTGAGAATCAAAAATAATTTTTACCATGGTCTTAGTACAGTTATACATTAAGCTCAAGCTATAATGTATTGGACACAAAATAATAACATCATACAGGTCCAAAGCCTTCTGACAGAGTACTCACTTTCTTAGCTGATCCAACAACAGGACTGAACATCGTCTGTGATGCTGGGGCCGCAACAGTAGGAGGTTTGCTCTCCGCTGTACTCTGTGATGAGGTAACTGCACCAACAGATGAAACTGGCGACACCTCTTTGGGCGTAGCACTTTCCGATGGGCACTGGAGATCCAAAGTAGTTGGCTTTGTGTCCATTTGAGACCAAGATTTTGCAGTCAACTGCCGGCAGGTACAAACAGTGCAGTAGATACATATACAACGAAAGGAAACTTGCAAGTGCTTTCACACCTGGTGAACACAAGAAAAAGAATTCTCAGCGTGAAAAGCACAGTCCTAGGGAACCTGATTGAGTGTTGACAGCTGTAGCCAGGTCAATCATCCAGCAACATCACTAGTTGATGATGAAGCCATGAAGATGTCCGGGCTAGTTTCTTTAGCTACCGTTTCTAACACCAGTGACATGACACACAACGGCTACAATGGTGGGAAAGGAGGCAGCAGAGGCTGAAAAGAGCAATACAGTCAACCCAACCTGCATGAATGCTACCATTCAATACCTATAATTAACAACGTTAGCATGCACCATTCTAGACTGTACTCAACGCCATCCAGTACTCACTTTCTTTTTCGGCATGCGAGGCGTACAGGAGCCCGATGAGGACAGTGAGAGTGATACAGGTGTAGTTGGTGTAGGCGTGGGTGTTACAGTAGGTGTTGCTGGTACTGGCAATGACATCGATGGAGATGGTGGCTGCTGCTGCTGCTGGGAGGTCATATCCATTGGCTGTGCTTGTGGCAGCGGTGGCTGTGATTCGAATTCCTGGGCCAGCTGCAGCAAGGCAGCTGCTCCGGCTATGGCACTGTTCTGCTCTGCGTACGCAGTGTTGACAGCCATCAAAAGTGGAGTACTGGCATCACAGTAGGAGCTGGAAGACGAACTCTCTGGTGATGGCTCGAACGATGTCGGTTCACTAGTGCCCTGGCTGGAGCGTCTGTGACAAGAACAAGAGTTGCAACAACACAACATTAGGCTCAACACCGGTTTAAGAAGATGCTTCAACGAAGCACCCTACATGTAAGTCAGCAATTATTAAATTTTATTGATTTTTACCCTACCAAACCCATACACACTGCAGCCCTAGAATCTAGCACTCTGAAATACATTCATGTAGCACACTGAAAATAGGGGCGACAGTTCAGACTATGCATAGTAGAGAGCGCATGTGGCAGAGGTGGAACAAATCCATTAATTCCACTTTTTTGTAAGTATTACCAAGAGTAGATAAACAAGAGTGTGCAACTCCGGATATCTTCTGCACAATCTGCAGATACCCGCGCCCGTGGCGGAATTTTTTGTTGACGTCACCTTTTTTCAGAAGAACGTGCATTTTGCCCCAGAGCAGTGTGAGAGCACGTGCTGGCCACCGACTTTGTGATGTAAAGCCCGGCCAAGTGCACGAGGCAAAACTTTCCAAAAGACTCGCAGCGCGTGCATCGTCGAAAAGATTACGTCAACAAAAAATTCCGCCGTGGGCCAACCCATCTCGGAGTTGCACACTCTTGTTTATCTACTCTTGGTATTACTGGTATGAGATTCAGTTAAGTTTTCACCGAGATACAACAGTTGAATTATCGTAAAAATCGTCTGTACGAGCTTTCTTGTACGCTGGTTAAATGTTATACAACTCATATGGCATACATGGACACGACTGTTTTTGTCACTCCACCAACAAGAAGAAACTGCAAATCAACGACTACCATACCACATCGGCACAATACAAATAAACTAGAAGTGGTACAATAGTGAACAACATACTTGCGCTGTGTTGACGCTCGGCGAGAACCACTGCCAGCTTTACTTGTTCGCCTACACCATCAACCAAGCATATAACAACAGCATGATGATATTCAACGATTTGGAGAGACTGAGGATTTCTTGCGTAGCCAAGGACTTAGTGCGGCTGTGTGCGCTGGAAGTTACTGCCACCAGGCCGTGTACTTACAACATGAACGGATGCAAAGCAAAATGCCAAACATCAAGACAGCATTTAAATACGAATACTGCTGTTTATATAAACCTGCTTCGAATTATCAAATTCAGTAGTTGTGCGGGTGGAAATCGGTACGAGGAATACATTGGAAATAAGACGGGTCTGCGAATCAGGCCATATTCGAACCATCAGCATTCTAATTTCTAATGCAGAAGAAAGTTACTAGAAACCATCCAAAGGGGACCAAAGTTTAATATGACCCAAATAGTTGAACATTTTCTGGTGAGTTGACTTCAAATTCAGCCTGTGTACATTCAATCCGGCAATAGAGAGTTAATTAGTCATTACCTGCTTTTAACAGCAGACAGGCTCTTGGGTTTCTCCCTTTCACTCGCAGGCTGCAAGTTTACACGAGCAAGATGCAGGAATGGGAGAGATAGATAGAGATAGATAGGTACATAAATAGATAGATAAATACACGGAAAAGAGAAATAGGTCCAGTTTGGATTTGTTGTGACTCAAAGTTTCATGCCACTGCAATCATCAGACGACTGATAATAAAAACCTAAGACTAATCATTATGAATCAGATCATGCGTGATACTTGGCGCTTAGATTGTCATTACTCTACGCAATACACGAATGAAGGCCAATATCACACAGATGTTACGGATGATGTAAGGGATAAGTAATGGCATAATGTTGGCACTGACGTATGCTAAACCAGGCATGGTTGTGATGGATAAGGATAATATTGGCACTGATATTTGCCAAAAACAGTCATGACGGTGCCGGGTACTGTCCTTGCGCGGCAGTTGCGACTGGCTGCTGCATGTTCTACTATGTCACGCTAGGTGTGAAGTTTTGTATGTAATATATGTTTTCATGGCGGCATTTTGACACTAGTTCGTTTCTTCTGTTCAGGCTCTTTGGGTTGTTGGCATTGTTCAATATTGTAAGTTTCTCGATTCTGCATAGGTTGCACCTTTTTGACTTTTTGGAGTATGCCTGCGTCTTTGTGTGGATATGACACCAAACAGAGAATGGCGTCCAGCAAGCTTCAGGTTCCACACATGGTTTGACAGTTCAGTTTTGCTCTGGTACCGTTCATGGCGGAAGCTCATTTGTGTGATTATTGTACCGGTCCTTGAAGGGAGGCTCGGTCAGTCCGGTGTACTCTTTGTCGTCGTTTACTGTTGCTTGATACACTATCGATCTCGACAGGCAATCACCATCAAGGGGGCACTGTGAGGCATTACGGCAGTTACAATACATGTCTTGGCAGGGGGTTGTGGCTGGCTTCCAGTCGCTGCCAGAACTCGTTTGTTACTTGGTATTAATGATGCTTCGTATATTTTGCATGCAGCTGTAGCTAGCCTTGACAGTGTTCCTGTTGAATATTTTATTCAGTGGTGAGCCTTTTGGGAAGTGTTTATCGATAAGGTGTAAGAATTTTCCGGCCACATTTGTTTGTATGTTTTTGCTGAACGGAGGGTTGAACCACGACCTGTCACACGACGAGGAGACATTTCATCAGGCTGCCCCTCTCTACAACGAGGCCCTCCGCGCCAGTGGATATGAGAAGGAGGTGGAATACAAAAGCGAACGGAAAGAAGGGCGCAACAAGAAGACGAGAAACCGTCAGCGCAAAATAACCATGATAACGTGATAGAAAGAGAGGGAAAGAGAGAGAAAGAGATGGAAAGAGAGAGAGAGAGAGAGAGAGAGAGAGAGAGAGAGAGAGAGAGAGAGAGAGAGAGAGAGAGAGAGAGAGAGAGAGAGAGAGAGAGAGAGAGCAAGAGAGAGAGAGCAAGAGAGAGAGAGAGAGAGAGAGGTAGAGAGAGAGAGAGAGGTAGAGAGAGAGAGGGGTAGAGAGAGAGAGGGGTAGAGAGAGAGAGGGGTAGAGAGGTAGAGAGGTAGAGAGGTAGAGAGAGAGAGAGAGAGAGAGAGAGAGAGAGAGAGAGAGAGAGAGAGAGAGAGAGAGAGAGAGAGAGAGAGAGAGAGAGAGAGAGAGAGAGAGAGAGAGAGAGAGAGAGAGAGAGAGAGAGAGAGAGAGAGAGAGAGAGAGAGAGAGAGGGTTCCACAACAAACACTTAGGGTTGGTTCACATAAGCAAAATCGGCGCCGCAAGACATCGGCGGTGAGCCAGCTCCTGATCCGTTGCGCCTACGGTTCGAGTACCAAATCTACTACAAAGTAGTACAGAATGTGCCAAAATGCTACGACAGGTTTGCCAATTGAAGCTTGAATTCTTTGTTTCTTCAGTAGTTCAAGGTCTTTTCGGTGATGGCCACTCGGTGCTACCTTTTACTGGAGATCATCAAACTACTTCTACACATTTTATTGCAGTCTAGTAAGCGATTGTGTCGAAATTATGCTTGCAAACGTTGATGAAGTCACAAGAACTTGCCAATGTATCCATTATAATTTTATATTTGTTTCAATTGTATTTGTCTCATAAGTTGCACAATGGTCTAGCAGATCATCCGAGAAGGACGGGCTGGTATCCTGACTTATTTGCCGCCTTGAAGCGACTACAAGAATGGCGAACGGACCTCCTCTCTAGCTTCAATTTAGGAAAATTTAGGACAAGTATTGGTTTGATATTTTGACAAAGTCTAGCTCCCGGAAGCCGGCGATCACCGGCGCGAACGGTTCACAAACCACTTTTGGTCAAAATCGTACGGGATCGGCGCCGGGGCAGATCGCAAGAGTTGGGCACTGTCCAACTTTGCCGGCGGTCCCTTGCGATATTTTACCGTATGATTTTGTTACGACTGCACTGGTTCACACAATCGGAATGCGCCGGGAGAGGTTGCAAGAAGCCCACCGCCGGTGACTCCCGGCGCGTACCGGCGATATGTGAACCAACCCTAAAGCTGGCACTGAACAATAAGGTCTGTCAGAGAGAACACATCGTGCTGCTCACGACACAACTTTGGGACTGCAATTTATACAGGGGGGTCGGAGGTTGAGGGCAGAGCGCACCACAAAGCAGTGCACTTTTGAGAATACAGAGGTCCAGAACAGGTAAAGATGGCTGCACTTTCATGTGAAGTTCAATGGGGCATATCCGATCGGTTTGTCGGGCAGGAAAAGGAAGTTTCCCTGAAAAACTGTAACATACAAAAGCCTGCAACTTACACCGGGCGTAGTCGGTGTTGATGCGACTGAGGGCCTGTAGAAAAGCAAGCAGAGTCAATTGGGTCAAATTAAAACAAGTAGGGGTGAAACGAGGATATCGAATACTGGAGCGCTCGCTCGAAAATTTGCAACGAGCGAGTACTCGTTTCGCATAATACTCGAAGAATCCTATGTCCAATGTACTGTATACATGTACATCGAGCATTTCTGTTACTCTGACCAGTACTGATAGTCCATACAAGCGCGAAATTATTGCTTGTCCCTACTTACCAGCAAAAGACAGTAGTCCAGACTATTTCCTGCACCATGCTGCATGCAAGACTGCATGTGTATGGGGTGTACTACGTTCAGTGGTGCGAGAGTGTGTGCAGTGCATTGTTTTATGTTGTCAGTTAAATACTCGTACTCGCTCGTTTTTTCAAAGAGTACTCGAGTCCCCAATTTTGGCACTCGTTTCACCCCTAAAAACAAGACACCGGTCACTGGCTCAGCAATGGGATGGGAGTTACCAATGGAATACTGGCACAGTAGAGATTCAATCACAATCGCCAAATAGATGAGGTGTTACAAGGTAGATACGCATGCATACCCAAGGCAGACAAATGCTACTGGCTCTCTGACGAGAGTTTCCAATGGTGTGAGTGGCACAGGCGAGTTTCAATCATATTCGCCAAAACGCAAGAAAGAAAGGAAAATACCCTTTGAGGACAGTTTTCCAAAACCAGTCATACAACAAGTCACACAGCAATGTGATTGCACAAAAATGGTGGAAAGCGGAAATGTCCCAAGCGGACAGTCACCAACCAGCGTTCCGCCACATCCAACGAACAAAGAACGGAGCAGACAAGGCGGAGGTGTAGCTTGGTGTGACTGGTCACTAAGAAAAGTCCTACTCTGAAGTGCCTCCGAAATGAACAACCAACTACTAGTATGAGAATGAAGAATTTAAACAAACGGCGCAGAAACAACTAGTTTAATATCGCAACAAGCTTAATGAAGAGTGTTGTACGAAAACTTGTCCGGACCATTTTTCCATCGGTCTATCTTCCTACACGTACTTATCTTTTCCTTTTAAACTGTGTCACATCGTTTCCATCACTTGACATTGTTTAAAAAGTAAACCAATGTCATTTCAGCTCGTCCTCCTTGTTGCAAGGATAAAGAATGCAGATGTGTTCTGGCACTGGGAACTATAGTCTGTTTCAAAAAGATTAGCAATCAGGTTTTAAAGTATGAAGATAAGGGAAATTTGGACAACAAAGTATATAAAATGGCTTGTTAGGGCACGACAAATTGTTCTGTGAAGGTTTCGGAACAATTGGACCAGCCGTTAAGGATGTTGTGAGTTCAAATCCAAACTATCTTCAAGTCAAACTTTTTTTTCATTGTTTTGGTGATCATGCTGGTAGATCTACAAAAAGTACTAGACAAAAAAAGAAGGTGGCTGCGCCAAACGACTTGTTTTTGGAGCTTGCATTTCCTGCCGAACTTACTGACACTTGACTGGTTCACGCCATGTGAACACACCCACAACACAGAAACGGTGTGAGTGATCACGGAAGTCATTACGCTGTAGCTACGTGTTGTTGAATACAACGGCACATCGATCGAGTTCTTTTTGAGACTTATTTTAGTATTTCAAGATCGCCAATTTATTTGAATTACATGTAGGAGTCGACGCCGTCTTCTATCAGCTTTCACAGGCGTCTGCTTTTCTCAAAATGTCGTCGAAGTCACACGGATAGCTTTGCCAAGTCATGGCCTTGGGAATGAGTCTGTGTCGATGTCGTTTTCGTCACATCGTGAGAGTAGCTCAAAGAAACTATTTGGGCACAAAACGAATTGGGACCCATGGCGCTCGTCAACATTTAGCACACTTTCGACATGTCCTCTCTGACTCCATATCGATACGAGGAAGAACTCGTTTGTTGTAAACCAGGCGTACATGCACTGACGTCGCGCACGTCGCGACGTCATTTTCCATGCTTTCGCGCGGAATATTTCTTCGAGTTCACAGTGAGTTTTTCCAGCCAGTGCTCGAGCGCTCATACGGTAAGACGGTAAACTCCCCAGGCGATTGCCAGGATTGCTAATCTTTTTGAAACTGACTGTAAGCAGGCCCATTTAGCGTAATGGCATAGACTTTCGGATGAGGTACAAAATTAGCATAAAGTGAAGCCATCACCCAGATCTCTAAGCTAGATTATCTGCAATTCAGGAATACAGAGAAACATACCGCTTGCTCTTCGGCGGTACTTCATCAACCACAGATTTCCGCCTTCCGGCTGGTCCTTTTCCCTCCATTCTTGAAATTTGCTATGAGAAAAGAAGCAAAGCAGCACTCCAAACTCTGAGCGCTGGCATAGAGCACATCACGCTATCTAGCAGAGAGGGTGGCCGCAGAAAGCAGTCCACGGATAACTATGTGTGTAATAAAAACACTGATTGCATTGAACACGTTCCCATGAACTTTGTAGCGTAATAATAACATGTACAGATCGAAAGTGGCACAAATAGAAACAAATATCTAGTTGAAGTCTACGCATCTGTCTACCAAAGCCAAACATTCCTCCTTGTCAACCGCCTTTGATTGAACTTAGCGTGTATGCGGATAATGATCCGGCAGCATGAAGCAAGATCAGGCACAAGTCTTGAGAGCTGGACAGCCTTACCTTCAAAATAGCATCCAGTTTCCGCTGTTCTCGACCCTGTTCAAACAAAAAAAGGAGGAAAGACTGTAAATGTGCCACTGAGCAAGAAGCAGTTCATGTATAGAGTGCTGGGCCTTAACACTGTGAATTCAATTTTCCGATACGTTACCGCTTCTCCCTAAAGTGGGAATATCCACAATTTTTAGGTGTATTCACCCTACACAAAAAACTGCTTTTCATACCAAGCTTATTGCCATTGCTTAATTTTTAAGGCAGCCCAAGCTTCTTTGGAGGTGATTTTTACCGACGTTTCTGGCTTAAGGCTGATTCACAATACAACTTCTTGCGACGCGACATGCGACTTGCGACACCTGCGGCAGCGACACACGGTTCACAATCTTTTTCATGTTTGCGACATCCTTATGCACTAGTAGTACTATGCACGTGCACTGCACATGCACCCAGGGTCGAAACTGTACTCCATTTGTGTATGCCGCGTGTCGCATGTCGCAAAAGTTGAACTTTCTTCAACTTCTGTGACAGGTGCCTTGCGACAGCTTGCAACAGCTCGCGACAGGTAGTTTCTTGTCACAACTGTCGCAAATCGCGTGCCGCGTCGCAGAAAGTTGTATTGTGAATCGGCCTTTACAGAATCAAGTTATGACAAAAAAAAACAAAAAAAACACCAACCAGGAAAACATGTAGAGAAGACAACTGACCTTCACCTCCAACTGACCGTCATCGCCATCCTCTTCACCGGCTGTTATTCTTGCCTACAAACAGGGAGAAAAGTGAGACCAACGAACAACGAATACCAGTAAGTCTTTGCAGAGGCATCACTGCTCTCCCCCCCCCCCCCCCACATACACACAGCCATGCGTTTCGCCTCATCGCAAGAGATTCATTCCCACTTCAGCCAACATTATGAAGAGAATACACAGCAGAGAGACATCATACGAACCTCATCAAGTTCAAGGACACCAGTCTTCCGCCGCTTCCTCAAACCGCCATCATCATCACCATCATCATCATGATGAACTCGTTTCCTACGATAGAACAAAACGAACAAGAAACTATTGTAAACTATATCCCACACAACGATATGGACAGAGAGCGTTGAGCGAGTGAGATAGAGAAAGCAAGAGAGACCTACCTATCGGGAGTGCCGCCGATATCCTGTTCTATTTCTTCAGTTGGCGTTATGGTATCCTTAGGGATTTCTCCGGAAATACTGTCAGACGTTCGCTTTATCCGGCGTCCATCTGGTCTAACAGAGTCCTCAGCTTTCCTTTGCCGTGTACTTTGTGAGCGTGGCTTTCGACCCGGACCAGATTTTTGGATCTGTTTCGCAGTAATACCCTAAAGGTAAAGTTGCACACACGCACACACAGAGGCCAGACAATTGGGAGTTTTAGAGGATTGCAATCACATCACAGCGCATGAACAACTTGTAGAAATGACACACAACAAAACCAACAAAACCAACAATAACAACAAAACCAACATAAAATACATTATACGAAGAGTCTATTTGGCGGCTTACATCTTCTTGTAACGAGCGCATGTGTAGTTCTTGCTGGCGCTTAATATGGTTTGCTTGCAGTATGTGCAGCTTCTCCTGGCGGGTGTGTTTGTTCAGGCGACGTTCCTCGCGAAGCCCAGCCATACAGCGGGCACTGAAGCCCACGACATGACAGCTTTTCGGGTCGCGAACTGCCAGCAAGCACGCACACTCCACAGGGAATTTGCTGCGGGTGAACAAAAAGAAGAAGCAAATAAGGCACTGTTATCAGCCATCACAGCCACAAAATGTTCAACAGGTACTCCATGAATGATGCCAAAATAAAGTACAACAATAGCACTGGTAGCTCATTTACCCAGCAAGGGTACAACGGTAGTTGCTTGTAGGGGAATAGGCCTTGAAATGTATAAGCAGAATGTTGTGTGGTGGGTGTGGGACTGTAGGTACATCTGGAGGATATGCTGAGCCTTTAGCATTCTTACCATTTCTCAAAGGGGAAATCGAAGCCAATGGTGATCTCATCATGCTTTGCAATGTCCCGAGTTGTATAAACACCCAGGCAGAAACAGTCATTCGAGACGAAAGGCCGCACTTCTGCATTGGGTGTACATGAGCGGCGCAGGAATCTTGCCAGGTTTCCTTTCGACCTGGCATCTACCACTAGATCCAGATCTCCGTGACCACGGTAGAACAGAACATAGGGGAGTACACTGTGCAGAAAACAACACAGGAATATATACCAGAACCAAATTGAAAAACAACAACAACAACAACAACAACAACAACAACAACGTACACTTAAGTAGTCATTAACCCCTTGGCCCTGCCCACCCAATTCTTCCTCGCTTTTCTCCTTTCTTACACTATTATCTCTTATTGGCCACTGGCTATCGTGAGAATAAAGATTTGAAACAACAACAACAACATACGCAGGGCACCTTATTCATCATGGAACTATAATATCAGAATAATAGAGAGGTTCCGGGGTACGATTCTCCGTGCCAAAATCCGTACGGGCGCTACGGTTTTTTTCCGAGGTGTGCTTCATAAGAGTTTTCGGCACAGAGAATCCGTGTGGACTGGCTTTCATGCGAACCATGTTTCGTATGGAGATTTTATGTCATTGAGTGCAGAAAGATTTTTCAAGTACAATTTTAGTACGAGAAACATCGATTTTCCGTGGGAAGTTTTGATTTCGGTACAAATTTTCAAAATAAAAAGGCATAGGGCGGGAATATGACGTGTTTGCGATCGTAACCTAGGCAACGACGGCAAACATAGAAGTTCCGTACTGCGGAACATTTCATTGCTCGAAAACGACGTATAAAAATCCGCAGCACCTCTACGGATTTTGGCACGAAAAATCGTACTCCGGAACCTCTCTATTGTCACATCACTGCAACAGTCAAACGTTCACGCAAAATGTCCTATCTGAACATGCCTGCTTTCTGCGTCGCACCGTCAGACATCGGAGCCCAAATAAGAGACAGGTTAAGACAGAAGATCAAAGTCACAAAGTAATGAAATAAGACATGATTGTCCTACCCGCATATCCATGCCTGCTTGCTTGTACTTTCATCAAACGCCTTTCTACTTGATATATGTCCCTAGGAAAAACAACAACAACAACAACAACAACACACAGCAAAGGACCAGTCATCACATACAAGAACTACAGTCTCACCACTAAGCACATGCATGCACAATAGTCATGTATGTAGTAAGGTTGAACAGTCCAAATAGGGACAGAGAGTGATGGTGAAAGTATGTAGTAAGGTTGAACAGTCCAAATAGGGACAGAGAGTGATGGTGAATGCATATCCAAGATTATCAAAATCCAGCGCACCCATACAGCAAGGCGACGAGAAATATCGCCATCATCGATAATTTGCATGGAACGAAAAAGTCTAGTTATTGCCCTTGTCTGCACCGGCTGCATACAGCAGTGCACCGTTTGATTTCGAACGATGGACGCCAAAGGGTTAAAGTGAAATGATGGTGTTGTGCACCCACCAGTTCACTGAAATTAGCAGCGTGAAACCCAAGTGCAGTCACACGGTGAATGAGTTCCCAGCTATACATTATGAATGCATAGTAATACTGTACGACGCGTGGCATTAACATCTGTAGCACAAGTACATACAGTGAACTGCACTACGAACGTTCCAGACTTGATTGGTTCAGCAGCAATGATACCCTGAGCCAGAGGACAACAATATGCACACATGAACAACAATCACGGAAAGCAAACAGAAATCTTAATTTCGTGCTCTAAGAAGTTAAGGTAATTTCTACAAGAATGTGAACACGGGTGAGGAAAACAACGTGGCTGAACGATTGAAAAGTACGAGAGCAGTGTTTCTGCACCACAAAAAAAAGAGAAAAAAGCGCAGTTCATCTGAGATGATATACCAAAGACAAGAGCTGGTGCACCTCTACCAAAAAATGCACTTACCTTTCGATTGGGTCGGACTTCATTGACGAGACACGGTTGTTCTGAAGACGTAGCTCCACTGGCACACGGCTGTCGATCTGCTGTGTGAACATCACTAGTTGACTCGTTCTAAAGCACGCAACCAAGCAAGCCACAGCAAAGACAGTACATCATCGTTGACTCGTTCTAAACCACACACAAGCCGCAGCAAAGACAGTACATCATCGTTGACTCGTTCTAAACCACACACAAGCCACAGCAAAGACAGTACATCGTCGTTGACTCGTTCTAAACCACACACAAGCCGCAGCAAAGACAGTACATTGTAGTTGACTCAGCAAAGCACTTTGAGAACAAACTAACAGTTGAATATGCACACACTACAGTCCATTCACAAGTACAGGCTATGCTCCCAAGACAATCCCGTAACGGAGGCTGTGCGGTTCTGCTGGTGACGATGTCAAAGACAGCGAGGAACGTCCGGGGTCCGCCGAAATCTTCACAGCCCCAACGTAGAAAAGGCAAGCGCTCTCAATACACGCCTTTTGGAAGGAATGCTTGCACCACCTTGACAACATAAAGGCATCTGGACATAAGGATGCCGTGATGAAGACAGCCGAGAAGTTTGGAATTTCGCTTGCTAGTTTGGTAAACGGTCACGAAACTGAAGGCAATGGTTGATCTGAATGCTGCGTTCCGGAATGACATTCACCTTTATTCAGGAAAGCAAACTCCCGAGAGCGTGAAAAAGAACTCACCTGCATCCTGGAGAACACATGAAACACCATTGGCAGAAGCTGAGATTTAACATTTGTACAAGCTCCATAGAGGTCAAGATTGACGTAGTACTTCGAAGTATGAATAAGAAGGTCAAGGAGTCGTACGGAGAATCTGAAAGGGCGCGTTCCCTGGCGTCCAGAGGCTGGTTCGCAGGTTCCACCAGGCGCTACAGGATCACCCTGCGAAAGCAGTCGAACAGCAAAGGCCAGTCAGTTGTGGAACGGCTAGCTGGCATCCAACAGTGGCATGCTCGCCTTGGACACAACATTGGCAAGGGCAAGCAGGTTAGCAAGAAGCGGGGTCGCTGGACATCCGAGTGCTGCCATTACAATGTGGACCAAGTCACCTTCACACTTGCCGATGGTGACAAGTGAACTTATCATGATGTTGGTGAGAAGCACAGTTAGATTTCTGGCTCCAGGAGAGGTGATGACAAGCGGGAGGTAACCTTGCAGCTGCGTGCCCGCCTTTCGAACGCTCAACCACAACCACGGGCAACCATTATCTTGCGTGGCAAGGGACTGCGGATCAAGGAGGAAGAGTGCAACAGCTGGGACTCGCGGGTGAATGTTCTATTCCAACCCAAGGTTTGGGCAGACAGTGATATCTGTTTGCAGTGGGCTGAGAATATTATCTTTCCTGCAGTAGTCGACATGTTGGCCTCGAATGTTCTGTACCTGTATCTGTATATACCATGTGAAGTTCATCCGCCGTCTGTAGAGGGCTCAATTTGCCAAAGGCAAAGAGCGGAATACACAGACAGAAGAACGAGTAGTTGCTGCCTAATGGAGCATCAGATGAAATTGACGAAAATTGACAATTTTCGTATGATGATCGATTCAGTTCGTGAAACTCAAGGTTACGAAACAGCACCTGCTCGTTCTTCGGTCTGTGTACCTGCATACCGGTAGTATGACTATATGAATTGTTATATCTGCCATTTCACATGTTTTGAGTTTAACCCTTATCCGACCGTCAAAGTGGACAAATTCTCAGTCCCAGCAAGACGCCGCGGCTCATTTTGTTGATAACTTTCGTTTCCCTTGGGTGATATGGGCAATCTTGGGCTTTTTGGAAAGCTTGAGCCATGAGGAGCTCTCTAGAAACAGTTTCTAGCCTTCATTTGTAAGAGGAGCAAAAATCCATCTCCAATTCCATTTTTTGAAGAGAAGTACGGCTCATCGACATGTGGATTATTTGTAGACCTAATTTTGTACTTTCATGCTAACACATTTTGAACATACCATCAGGGAAGCCCCCAGGCGAAGTTTTAGGAGGGCAATAATTATAATCATTGCCAAAGCTACACCTTTTGGAAACGTGTTTCGTACGCGGTGTGAAAACAGCCCTCATTCAGAGACTCCATATAACTTCTCTTTGAAACATTCTAAGACTCTCCGTTTTTTTTCCGCAGATGAATGGTGGGCCTTTCTAGCTTCTTTTGAGACCAAAATGGTGCAGATTTGATATAAAATAAGTGAGTTACAGCTTGTTCAAGTCATCGACGGATAGTGGTCGATTTTTGACTGGCCGGTCGGATAAGGGGCCGTCCAAGGTTACCAATAATATTTTCAAAACGAAATGTTTTCGTTTGTGGGTGGGTGGGTTTGATGGAGTTTCGTTTTGAAAATAATTATTGAATGCTGATGGAGAATGCCCAGTTACTTCTGGGTGTCGAAAATTGACATCAATATTTTATTGGAATTCGTTTTACCTGCAGTAAAGGTGGGTGGGTGGGTGGGGGCTGAAAAATACTAAAACTTTTCGTTTTGTAAAAACAATCGGTAACCCCGGACGGCCCCTAAGGGTTAAATACCATAAAACTATGGAAATGTATCATCCAAACCTATTCCCCTTTCTTACGTTAGTTCCTAACTTGAAACCTTGCAAATTGGAAGGCCGTCGGTTTGCGCATTCCAAGACGTCATGTAGCTAAGCATCAGGCCGTTGAATGTCAGTATCACATCAGTCCGCATTGTGCTAATTGTTGCACGTTCTAACTCACCAGTATCATGCTTATAATTGTTAGTGTTGGACACAAAACGAATAACTAGTAAGTTGTAACCTTTTGGCACTCTCTTTTTAATAGGGAGGTTTAGTTCCCACGTAACGGAAACGCGCACGTGGGTGAAGGGCACCCATGTTGCAATGTTGTGTTTAGTCACACGGAACAAACAAAAGCATGAAGCGAAAGGCCCAAACCTGGTCAAAGACGAAGCTACCCGGGCCTAAGAAGCTCATCCAATACTTTGATTTCGTGCTTCGAAAACTTCTTCAGCTGAGCACCCTCACAGCTCGCACAATGCGCTCCATTCTGATTTTCACCCAAGTTCTGGCGGAACGTGGGTGCGCCTCCATACACGGTATGTCGTGAATCAGAAAACGTCTGTACGTGGGTCACTGAGTATCACGTGGTACACACACGTAAAGGACCCACGGATTACGTGGGACTAAACCTCCCTAATTTCAACGGTGTGCAGAGAACATGTTCTTTCACTTGGATTGAATAGAAAACTCTTTCCACCACTGACCTGCTGTTCTTCACTGCTAAAATCGAAATAGATGAGAGCTGCTTGGCTGCAGCACAAGAACTGATGAAGTTGGAGCTGGCACGGACGTGATGCTCATCTTGCCAGGTTTTTGTTTGCGTGCTCTGATCCTGGCTGGCCAGGCTGGCCTGTTGAAAGACTCAAAAGCATGCTCTACCAAGCTGCGAGAAGTCAAACTGACTCAAGAGCATGCTCTACCTGGTCCATGCTGCGAGAGGTCAAACTGACCCAAGAGCATGCTCTACCATGCTGCGATAAGGCAAACTGGCCACTGAAATGTCAGCAACTCGGGGTTATCGGACTTCAATATGGAGTTGACGGTATAAGTGACAGCTGATTGACACTTGTTTGGTGAGAATGGCGTTATACAAATGGCAATCCTGGTCGCAGGGCACAAAATCAAGTGCATTGCGGCTATTGGACTTCAATATGGAGATGACGGCATAAGTGACAGTTGGATGACACTGATTTGGTGAGAATGGCGTTATACAAATGGCAATCCTGGTCGCAGGGCACAAAATCAAGTGCATTGGCAAGTGCATTGGCAAGTTGTCGTTATTCAACCTGTCATTATACCCGAGGTTGAATGTATGTAGTCAAACTGGTGTTTGCTCTGGCCATCAAAAATGTGTTGGTATTTGCGAGCGGTCATTGTATCCGAGGTTGTTATTGGTGAGGTATGTACAATCATGTACATCCAACAGGAACTTACAGATGAAGACTGGGCTTCTGTCTTTGGCTGAATTCACAAACAGAACAAATAAGAAAAACAAAGTTTAATAATCTGAAATCACCACGTTGGACTCAATGTGGCTCTCTACTCGGGGATCTGATTTCATCGGCCACACCTGTACTTGCACATGCAGTGGACATCTTGAACACACAGTGGCCCCTGGCCAGAAGAACAAAGGAGCAAAACCTGGAAACTCTTCAACGACCATCTACATGTACATAGAAATTCCGTTGTGGGGGTGGGGGCATAGTTATCATCTAAGACCACACGATGAATAGGATGACCAACATGGTGCTCAACAATGGAAACGGCTAAGTAGAAAGTCATCTAGCGCAAGACACAAGTTAACCACCCACATATACAGCAGGTGCATGCAGGCAGAAAAGGCAGGAACGTCGGACACACTACACTCACTACAGTATAGACAGTAGCACTCTTTTTCCCAGTTACCCCATGAATCAATAATATCAAGAGCACATAAACCAGAGTGTGCAACTCAGGATGGTTCCCGTGGGAGCGTAATCCGTGCAGTACGTCATTTCTGACGGCACGGTAAGTCACTTGTACGGTGAAAAGTTGCATAACCAGTCGCGGCGATGCAGGTCACTGAGTTTGTGCTGATTTCGGGGTTTTGATACGGACAGCCAGGTGAATTTACTTGACAGCTGATGCACGGAGCGTGCGCAGTCACACAAAAACACCGGAATCCTAAAACAGGACGTCTAAAATCATGCAAACTTCGCTGATTTCCGGGCTGTGACACACAAGAATTTTAGCTGTACGGAAGTCGCGGGTTGGCTGGCCTCATCAGGGTGACGTAGTGCACGAACTGCGATGTTTCACATCTGATGTGCACAGTTGCACACTCTGGTTTATGTCCTCTTGATAATCTGCACTGATTCGGGTGTTACCCGCCCTACGAGTAAACTGTACATCTGGTTGGTGACCAAACCAACCTAAAATACCTTCCAACACCCATGAAATGGATTTGTTAGCGGGCGCTCATACTAGTCCAAACTTACCACAGTAGATGCTCCACCGACTTGATTCTTCAGCTGTGCGTGCAGATCATCATCAACCAGGTTGGAGCTGATGTTATCAAAAGGCTGAGTCCATGCGCTACACAAAGCACACACATAATGCAAACAATCTAAACATGAAGTGAGATACCATTGTGACAACTGTACTACCAACCTGGATGAAAACAGCTTGAGAGAGAGAGAGAGAGAGAGAGAGAGAGAGAGAGAGAGAGAGAGAGAGAGAGAGAGAGAGAGAGAGAGAGAGAGAGAGAGAAGAGAGAGAGAGAAAGAAACGTGGCATGGAAGAGGGAATGCAGCACTGACAACGAGCAAAACGAGACAAACCAATCGTCCAAGCACAAGCGCAGCTAGTGGCCAGCGATAGCCATACCCAGTTTTGCAGTTCCAGATGTCTCCGTTGGGAACATCAACGGAATCTGTTGAGGAATACACACAAAAAAGCATTAGAAGAGAAAGGACACCACAAATAATCCGGTACTAGGAGGCAGCAGAATGCTGGTGTGCCAGCGTGAGCATCCGTGATGATGAAAAGAACGTAGTGCCAAGCTACAGAGAAGGTCTCACCAGTCTCATCTAAGGTCTCACCGGTGAAGGTAGAATAATGAGTGGCTAGAATCCAGTGCATGCTGCTCAATGAAATGTGATCACGCTAGCTTCGCACCGTGGCAATGTGCATCACGCTAGCTTCGCACCGTGGCAATGTGCATCACCAGATGCGTGAACACTAGGCTATATGGCAAGGTTCAGGCAAAGCAAACGTACCACATTGAATTTCAGTAATCAGCACCATATACATACATACACATACATACATACTGTCCACAGATTAAGTGCAAACATATCCGCAGACGGCTTTAAGGTTCGGAGGTTAATCAGGTATTATGTACGTTTTTCTAGTGTGTGGCATGCGGCCTTTACTTCACTGAATCTCACCCATCACATCTTTTCATCCTTGGGTATGATCTGAAGAAATGCTGTAAAAATAATGCTGCCTGTACAATGTTGTTACTCACCATCAAAGGAGTCCATCATAACAGCATCCAGCAGATGCTCGGACATCAAAAGAACATTGCTTCCTGGACTCGTCTGCACACAGACAAAAAAACAATAGTGTCATCATGAATTGAATACAAGGACCACACAAATGCAATGACACATAAACAGTTAAACACCATGCCTATTCACCTAGCCAGTAGCCACACACGCATGCAGCTTACGACTGGAGGATACCGTGTATGAATCTTTCATTCTATGCTCTCCACTCTTGACGAATCAAGATAACCATTTTTTAACAGGTAGTTTCAGCTTCTTGCGGTTCGCACTGTAATCAAGCTAGTATTAGCAGCCGGGGAATGAGTGACTCACCGATTGCCGCTGTATCACTTTCCGCTGGAATAGGACAAGAACACACACAAAAACAACACAAATATGATGAATATTCACTGAGCAAGACAGAATCACGCGTGCCAATATAAGAAGCACGACACAAGCATGCAAGTGTGACTCCAACTGTTCTTGTGTAGCAATACACATTCTCAATAGACAAATAAAATATTTTGAAATTGAGTCAAAACAGTGTGTCTGCTGCATGTAAACTCTGATAAGCACAATGGGTTGTATACGTGATCTCTTTCCACGGTTTTGTCGAGTGGAGCGAGCGTGCAGAACTCACGGCAAATTCCAGTAGTTCGTTGACATGGTCCTATCCGGTCATGCATCTAGGTCTAGAATGTGCAATCAAACACATTCATTGTACATTCACACTCGTACCTGCAAACTGGCGTTGTGAGCGCAAAACGATTCATGCAATCATGAAAGAGTAGTGAGAGCTAGCAATGGCACCACCGGACCACAACTGGTCGTGGTATCTGCTGTCTTGAAACTAAAAGCCAACATCCCATTTTGGCACCAATCCCCCCCCCCCCAAACACATACATACAAATACCCCCCCCCCCCCCACACACACACACATGCACACACACACACACAAACAGACCAAATGTTAAGTTCCTGTTGCATGATTACATATTAACCTGCAGCTTGCATTGAGACATAGACATGACCGTTTTGACCCTGTAATCTTTCCATGCATTTGCACTGCTCAGAATGGTCAAAAAGGCTTCAGAAAACACGTCCTTCATTGTGATCAAACTGGGAGGCATGATGCTTTGTCTAATAAATCAGCACGTACCTTGACTTTCTCAGGTTTGATTCCATCCGGATTGACAAGGGCTGTTGCTGGAAGGTGATCATGTGAGATATTAGCACAAGCTGGAGATGAGTAATCAGGCAACTCAGGAAGGGCGCAGTCAGACCCATCTGACTGGCTGCCTTCTTCTGTCTCCGATGTGGTATCGTCAGCCACAGCACTATTCTTTCGCTCACGCTGCGCCATCTGTTGCTTTAGACGCTCCTCCCTCTCTATCACACGCTGTTGTCTACGCTTGTTCTTGCGTTCCAACGCCAGATCTGCAGCAAAGAAAGAAAACAGAAGAAAAGAACAAACAAAGGAAACGTTACCACAACAGCACTGCACAGGTGGCACAGAATTACCTCTGCATGGCACACAAGTAGTAGCAGATCTATAGCTGTGCTGTGGGAAATCCCACCCAAAGTGGATATTCACCGCCCTGGACTTGCTCGCCATTGGCGCCCTGAAAGTGGTGTTAATGTTGCTGGATATACACATGTATAAATACAGTGATGCAATCGAAACTGGTGAAGGGCACTACCTTTGTACTTTGGGTCGGATACCAGTGAGTCATACCACCTAGCCCAACTGTAGTAGTAGACGTGTTGTTCCAGACACACGAGCTCAGTAGGGAGGATGATCACCCGGACAACAAGAACAGATATGCCAGAAGGCAGGTTCGAGGTACGCCACAAATGCTGTTGTGGTCACTTCAATTTGAAACTACAGTAAAACCTGCCCTAACCGGTCGCCCTTGGTGCAGCGCAAACTGTCCTGATATGACAGGATTCCGCTTGATCCAGGGATGCAAAGTCGATCCATAGCACATTGGTGCATGAACATTTGTCCGGTCAATACAGGATTCGCTGGGTACAGGGTCCGGCAAACACAGGTTTAACTGTAGCTGTGCTGTGCATGTCTGTGTCATGTTTGATGAATTATTTCTGGTCATACTTTTCTGCACACTTTCGGTGTCTACAATATCGACTGGCAGCAGAAAACCAGCTTTCTGTTGGACTCAGCATCGTCTTGAAACATTTTTTAGCACAAACAGCACCTCCACTGGGAAAGAGGAGGGGAATCAGGGGGTGCACTGGAAAGTTATACTTACGCTTTTTCAGCTGGACAGCATTAGCACGTTCCACATTAAGTTCCCTGCCAGTACAACGCAACAGAAGACAACAGGTCCACAATGCTGCTGAGCTGAAAATGTAAACTACTTCCTGCGGAAACAAAACTCCGTGAATTCGTATTCACATTCACAAATTCACACTCCACATTATAAGGAGTTACTGTGGTGGGGAAAATTGGTTTAGGAGAACAACAGCACTTCAAGACAATGAGTGGATACACTGTTTTGAAGAACATGTACGTCCACTATTACACAAAAGGAAATTTGCACCGTTTGTGTCTCATTTGGAGTCACTATCACAAATTCCCCTCAGCTCAATTCACCAGAACTGATGTTCCATCAGTCAAGAAGTGTTTGTTTCCGGAGAAACATGATACAATGCACATTTCAAAGGATGATCCCAACACACAATCGATATGACACAAGCACAAGCACATGGACATCACCCAAACTCACCCAGCCTACCCACTCACCCATCAAATCATTCCCACTCAACACCCCCCCCCCCCCCCCCCCCCACACACACACACATGAACAAGAAGAGAATGAAAAACTATGGAAGGAGTCAGATCATGTGTACCACCAGCAAGAAGATGATCAGAATGGAGGAAAGCTCACCTTGGCTCACATATGTGGCAGAAATACTTCTCCGGAAGACGCCTGCTGTTGCCTTGGCGGATGCACTCAACATGCTGCCACACCCTATAACATACAAATGAAAAAGGAATCCAGTGCATAAACAACCGTTTCAGACACCTAGCATTCCGTTTCAGGGCATCTCTTCAAATTGTATTTCTTCGAAACTCTGCTGACAATGCAATCCAAATTTCGACTGCATTTCCGAAAGAAAAAAAGTATATATCAAAAAACGCTATTTTCAGTGTTTTGCAATCCAATAACCTAACTAATTCAATTTCGTTTCCGATGATTCACCGGTTGCGATGCAAAACGGCAAGCATAGAATTGGCGCCAAAGATGGAATTTGTTGCGTTCAAAATCTTGCGGCACGTCCACAGTATCCAAGAATGTGCGCCCAAACAGGAATGAACCTAAAAATGCATTACGGAACACCATGCACTTTCGCCATCAACTTCTGAAAATTCGACTACTTTTTCTACATCTGCCACCAGATTCCGAAAATAATTCCGAAATTCGGAATGCAAAACTAATACCTGGCACTGAACAGCGATTCCGAACACACTGCAACAGATTCTAAATCTATAAATTAACTGGATGAAAGCCATCCTTTCCCATTGGATAGGAAGAGACTTTTTTTAAAGAACGGAAAACTCCAATATCACGGTGGACATTCAACAATACGCTGCCACAATTCAATACCAAAGATCCAAACAAGATGGAAGACGCACAGCAAATTTACCAAAGTGTCCTCATATCAGTGCATTGTACTTACGCACAACGATCGCAGCACACCATGAAGCCATCATCGTGATAATAATCACTGCACGGCATGGGTTAGACATGATAGCACCGACACATGCAGACAAACACAGACAAGCAGACACGCAAAGCACAACAAAGTAAATAACGGTAAGGTTGCGCTTTGAAGAATACAGCAGTTACGTACCCATGCCGGAATGTTTTTATCTGACAAAAAAAAACATCATACAACGTGCACACCATGCCTTGGAGGGGAATTTGAGGGCCGCAGGGGGCCGCACACAATCCACCGTGTGGTTTTTGACTTGGGAGTCGGAGTTCACTGGCTACAATTGTCCCTATAGTGCTGCTCAATGATATGTGCACAGAAGTTCAACAGCAGTGTCACAATACTGCGTCGCTTACATCCCCTATATGCCATGTGTGTAGTAACTACATTGTGCCAGCACTACACCATTTCCAACTTGTGCGAGTTTCATCACCACTACACTGCCAAAAAGCAGGATAAATAGACATTGTTGTGCTTCGTCACAATATTACCATGATTGTACCGATTCGAGAAGTAATGGTACGAACGGCTTATCACGTTCACAACTGGCTTCGTCTCTACATGTGTCGAGGTTGACTGTATATAGGCACATGTATATACAGTTTTGTCTGCACTTGAGATTGAGTACATGCAAAAAGAATCAGAAGAATCAGAAGTCGTTTGGCATGGTTTAGTAGCAAGAGTACATAACCCCCCAGAGTGTGCAACTCCCACATACCCTGTTGTCCCGACAGAATTTCAAGTTGACGTCATTATTTATGACGCAATGCTCCTTGCAGCAGTGATTTACAACATGTGTACGGGTGTCAACGCATCACACGTTTTTCTTTGCAATAATTTGTACAGAATCGATCGGCTTCGGTCAACCACAGGTTCCGGATTCGTCTGATAATCCGTGTACAGTGCGCATTGCATCATCAAAATGACGTCAACTTGAAATTCTGTCGGGACAGCACCCATAGTGGAGTTGCACACTCTGGGGGGTTATGTACTCTTGTTTAGTAGTGTTAGTAGTTTTAGAGGGTTGTGACATCACACTGTCAGGCCTAGTGCAGGTGGACACGTTCACATGAAAGGTGTACATATCTACATTTGGTTGCTCTTGGTAAGAATGCCGTAATTTCCAAGCATGTGGCGACAAAGTAAGAATACGCCATGATCAACTACTAACCAGATGCACTTGGTGACACTACCATCATCGCCAACATGCCCGCCATTCGGTACATGCACACCACCAAGGGCGGGAGTATTCAATTGCTCACTGCTCTCGGAGTGGTCAGTACCTACAAGTCTTTCATCACTGCCGTGGACACCATTACCTACAGCACCAGCAGTTGACGGTATAATTTCGGTATGGTCAGGAACAGCAACTGGACTGACGACAGCTTCATCTTCGCAGACATCAGCCTAACAAATAGCAAAGTAGAGAGAGGTAGAGTGGTAGGGAAAGAGAGAGAAAGAGAGAGAGAGAGAGAGAGAGAGAGAGGAGAGAGAGAGAGAGAGAGAGAGAGAGAGAGAGAGAGAGAGAGAGAGTTACATTTATAAAGACAGGTAAGTCTAACAAATGAGGACTGAGACCTCTACAACAGGTTTTTTTACGCTTGAAAGCAGGTGCATGATTTAACAAGCAGGTTGTCAGTCTAGATTTTATGCGCAGACGGAGAAAAAAAGCACAGAATTTTTGTAATGAGATGAAAAGCAGAAATAATAAGAAATAATGAGAGAGAGAGAGAGAGAGAGAGAGAGAGAGAGAGAGAGAGAGAGAGAGAGAGAGAGAGAGAGAGAGAGAGAGAGAGAGAGAGAGAGAGAGAGAGAGAGAGAGAGAGAGAGAGAGAGAGAGAGAGAGAGAGGAGAGGAGAGGAGAGGAGAGGAGAGGAGAGGAGAGAGAGAGAGAGAGAGAGAGAGAGAGAGAGAGAGAGAGAGAGAGAGAGAGAGAGAGAGAGAGAGAGAGAGAGAGAGAGAGAGAGAGAGAGAGAGAGAGAGAGAGAGAGAGAGAGAGAGAGAGAGAGAGAGAGAGAGAGAGAGAGAGAGAGATCCCATCCAGTTGACTACAAACTTGAACTTTGATACAACGATGTATTTGTAAATGTCTAAATGGATGGTAAAGCAAATAAAATACCGTAGTGTCTTCTATAAAAGCCTGTCTCATATAGAAGCATGCTTTGAATACGAGCCTGATTTTCAAGACGCACTGTCAGCACATAAGCCTAGTATTAGTGTTGCCAAATCGGTACATAGAAATACTGGGTTCGAATTAGTAGTGTGCACGGGTACATGTGGTCGGGTACCCATGCTACAGAATAGAACCCGAAAACCCGAAGTCGCAGATGACATCATGTGCAGTACACGTGTACAAATTCATGTAATACTCCGCATGTCTACCCAGTGTGTAAGGGAAGGGGTGCATTGCGGTGTTACCATGGAAACATTACCCGATAGGGTACCCGTGCTACCAGTGGAAAACTACCCAAACCCGATACCCGAAGAAAAGGCCACCTGACTCCGCTCTAATTTGAAAACAAGCCTAATTTGAGTAGAATAATAGCCTTGACATCGGCTTCTACAGGAATAAGACCTGTGTTTATACGTGGCTTTATGGTACAAAGTTCACTATGTATGATTGCTGCATGCGTTGTGTGCCCCCACGCGCAAAAATGGATAAAATACAGATACTTTGGATAAAGTACTGCAGACCTACAAATATATTTATTTCCAGTAGAAATGATAGTGGTGGGTTATGGGTTATCGCTCGTCGCTTTCCTTTTGTTTGCTGGCAGGTGTATGAACTGCCTGTTGGCTACAACCCACTAAAAAACGATACGTGTACGTTTCTCCCATCGATCAGTGGAACAAATTCGAAGTAAATAGTACCAAGCAATTCAACAAGGGATAGAACCTCAACACCACAACTCCACAAAGATAAAGTCCTCCTATTTTACATAACGCGGGCACAAACATAGGGCGCAAGAATGCCCACGAGACATTACCTGAGGTGGACGGAGACCAAGAGTCATGGAGGTAGCATCTGCTCTCTCCGTGGTCTCTGGATCTCTTACACCTGCCATAGCCACTTCTTGGTCAACTCTGCTCGACATCTAGCCACTCTAGCTGGCCGTGACAAAGTAGATTAGTTTTCACTTGGTTTCCATGCAGAACCATGACTCGAGAGAGAAGAACACCTACGCAGCCATGGAATAAACAACAAATGTTCGTCATGAGACTCTACACCAGTGATTGCCTCAGACACGTTAAAAGATACTGCAGTCAGGGCATTGGGCTCAAAGAGGCCCAAGTACTTCTTTCAAGCGTAGCATCAGTCCAAACTAACTAAAAGAACCCCTTTTCGAAGCAGAAATATTTTTCAAGAACATACCTGTCGTTCTGGTGGTTGAAGTTTATGGTCCAACTTGCACCACAGTGCACTACCAGTTACTCAAAAAAAGTGATCGAAAGAAATACTACATGTACTCCCAATGCAGATGTCAAACAGTTCACCTCAGCTAGATGGCTAGAGCAACAACAGTCATACACTCGCACTAACCAATTTTTTCAAAGCAGTCACAACACCTTTTCTATACTAACCTTTCTCTCACACATATTTTCTCTTCGCCAAAATGCATAAAAACAGCGCTATGTGTTGATCTACATGTACATGGCCTACGCGGGCAAAGAAAGAGTTCAATCGATTGTCGGATTGGAGTTTAGTTCTCGTACACAGCACACACATAGTTGTAGATAGACCGGCTACACACGTACCTACACGGCTACAGCTAGCACAAAGCGCACCACCTGTAGTCCTTGGCTACGAGTCCGACTGATCGGCGCGGTACACTGTGCAGCTAGCGCAGGTACATGTGTCCGCGATCCGAGATATGCGTGCATGCATGGCATGGCATAAACGTAATGGCGACGAAAATTTTATTGAAATCCGGGACGTGACGTCCATTATTATTAATTTTTGTATAAATACAGCACGACTCATACACTTTCTTGCTATGCCATCTTTGCCTGGTCGTAGTTTTGTTTGTTGTGAGCTGTGTTGGCTTTCTCCGAAAATTCTCGGATACCTCTAGGGGATGCCAAGTGGTGGTGTAGAGAAACTGACGATGGCTGTGAGGGAGCGTGTTCCGATCTGCGTCGTCCTCGCCATAGCAATGGAAAAACTAGTTGCTGTATTCTTGGCAGATATCACGACACAAAGGAGCGTCCAGGAGCAAAGAAATCGTGGGTTTCCACTGAAATCTGGTTCCTTCGGCGTCGTGTAGCCTTGTTGTTTCGGTTGATGGCCGTCCAGAAACGATGAATCTGCAGTTTAAACTCCTGGTGTTTTGCAACATCTCGCAGTCCTGCGATTTACAAATACACATGTCAGTATAAATTAATGACAAAGTATACTCTACAGTGATCATCAGACATATGAGTCTAATATCCCACACGAATATCCTGTATGCCTCTAAAGTCAAGATGGAGAAAAGGTGGCATGGTGGGTGTACATTGGACATGTCAAAATGGTTTGACAAGGTACATCAACATCCTCATCTGCTTGGAAGCGGAAGGAATTTTTCCAGCCGTGCTGCAACCCACAGTTAATTGGGAACTCGTGGCCTGGCACGAGGGTAACATGGATGCAGCTAATGGGATTTCGGTCTTTGACCACTTGGTGGTGGGTCTGATCTACTCACCTCCCACCGTTTAGGCGCTGCATCTGCGCCTTTGATCCTAGAGGGTGGTGGCGTTCCCACGGCGGATGCGGAAAACTCGGCTTCCAGCCGAGTCTCACGCGAACCGTGAAATTCATTTTTTATTTATCAACATCCTCTCCTGCAGGATGATCTGCCGTTTGACATTGCCAGGCATATGCAGCGGGTTGGGCTCCCCGGTAGTACATTGTGTACTGCACTTGCCTGCGAACCAAGAGGCCGCGGATTCGAGCCCTGCGGTCGCACATCTGACTGCATATCCCCATGACGTAGCTCACCAGATCAAGGTGTGGGTCCTCTTCACCCAGTAGAGCCACTGAGTCGAGCGAGCTGTATTCCCGGTGCCGAAAGACGGGCTCACACCCCAGTATGGCGACTTCCCCATGTCAACCCCCAAGACGAAGTGAATACTGTAGACAGTAGTAGTCATAGTAGTCCTACTGCGCTTCGGTCCTCTGAGCTGTGCTGAGGAGCTCTAACAGAGCGAAACAGTTGCTGTCCACAGATTTGAGTAATATTATTTTTTATAGTTGACCCACATTGACATGACCGAGTTTGGCAGCTATCTGTCCAGGGTGTATGCATCAGGTTTGCATTGGCACCTCGACCTGTCCGAAATTGTGTTGTAACTGTGGAGTCCCATCAGGGTTTGTGATCTTCCCTGTTCATTCCAGTATGATGTTACACAGGGCTGGGGCGTAGCACCCGCTACGACTGGTACGACCATGGCCGTACCACTTTTCGAAAAGTAGTCCGTCCGGAACGTGCAAAACCGTAATAAAATAATCAGGATCCATCGACGCATATAAATTATAATAAAAGCTGACAGGATCGCTTTTCTGCGCATCAGACTTTCACCTTTTTCTAGACTCGTACTCGTAGATCTGCCATGCATCTGAGCTGCACTCGTAGTACCGGTACTATGAGTCTTTACTACTACTACTACACTGTAGTACTACTAATACCAGCAGTAGTACCAGGTATGTCTGTACTCGATCGACTGGACTGCATGCACACTGGTCACTACTGTCACTACGGGTTATGTACTCTTGCCTCTTGGTATTACCAAGAGTACATAAAGTTTATGTACTCTTGGTATTACCAAGAGTACATAAAGTTTATGTACTCTTGGTATTACCAAGAGTACAATGTCATAGAAACCAATGCACAGTCCCCAGACTGGCCAGAGCAGAAGTAAAGTGGCAGAACGCAGCATTTTGTGTCTTTTTTTACAAAATTTTCCCGGGGGAGGTCCCCCGCACCCCCCTCCAACACGGCCTTCGGCCGCCCCGACCTTTGCCTTTGGTCTTCTTCTTCTTCGGTAACTACAAGTACAAGTCATAATAAACATGAAAATGACTGTGAGAGTAGTCGTCAGTGTACATGTAGTAGAAACTTAGATCAGTTTCTCCAGCTGCAAGAACTGGATAGCTTCTGATGGTTGTGTGAGAATTGCCTCCCTGACTGATGTGAAGGTACATAGACGTGTAGCTGCTTGACTGGTGTCTGGCAGGGCAAGCTAGCAGGAGGTGGGCAGGCAGCATCATCAACTCGTACCACTTCCAAAACCCCTCCTACGCCCCACTTGCACTGTACACTCGCAGCGTTCCCTTTGTCGCAGCGCTCATTAGGCCTAGCGCAAATTTGCTCGGGGCGCTTCGATATTTTGCCGGCAAATTTTGCCCAAGGACTTTCCATATTTTGCTTGGCATTGCCTTTCGTTTCCGATATTTTGCTCCATTTTGCTCCTGTTTTGTGGCAAAAATAGCTTCGAATGAATCGTCGACGCATCTACTTTGGTAAAAGTGGATGGTGGCTCTGATGAGGAAAGCAAAACTGAAAATGGTGTCAGTATTACGGATTTTGTAGCATGATTTCAAATTTATGTACCCCTGACAACCTGCACGAGCTGTTTCAGCACGACGTTGGATCAATGAAACCAAAGAAAGTAGAATAAAATTGCAAAAACGCACCCGGATCCTCTGAAAATTCGATATTTTGCTCGGAATTTGCTGGCAATTTCTTTTCGTGGGAAATTTCGATATTTTGCTGGAAGAATTGCCGGCAAATTTGGGCTAGGCCTAGCGCTCATCCTACCCCCGGGCCAGGACACAATTATTTGCCAGTGACGACTGACATGATGATATTGCGCTGCACTTGTCACAACCTACCGCCGCTGCTGTGGCGACTGTACTGGTGTGTCCGTGGTTAGACTGACTGACTTTTTGTAGCTACGAACTAATTACTTTTTTTTGTAGTCTACATGTATACAATGTAGTACAAGACAGCGGCCTAGTCCTCAACCTGGCCACAACTGCGGTAGCTCCACCCTTGGCGCCATGACGATGCCTTAGTGACTCAGTGACATCAATGATCAAGAGTAGACCTACCTAAGGGTTATGTACTCTTGGTGACATGCAGTTGCACTATCATTAGCGAGGTTTTGCATTCCGAAATTCGGCAAAAAGATTCGGCACGCGGGAGCGAGGTCGAAAATGCACACGAAGATTCGGAGTGTTTGTTCCAGGGAGTCGTATTTTACGACTCCCTGGTTTGTTCGGAAAAAGCTCACTTTGCCGAAAATATTTTTCGGATGCATTTTCTTGTAGAAGAGCGCTAGCGCGTGATTTATTCAAAGAGGTTTCTTATCTCGGCATCGCTCGGCAGGCGTCTTTGGCGACATAGCATCGTCAGCTACCTCTGATTGCTCCTCTCCACTGCCTGTCGACTCTCTTTCGCCTGGAGTGTCCTCACCGTCATCTGTGTGGCTGAAAAGACTATGGCGACACGCATAAAATTTGACTTGGCCATGGAGTTGGTTTTTCTGAGGCGACTGAGGAGGCAGGTTTGGCCCTCGACTCTTTGGGCGATCAAAGTTCGTTGGAATCAGCAAGAAAAGGAGCACGGGACAGGACGTTGCTGATGCTGGGGCTCACGAAATGAAAACACATCATTTTCGACTTGCAAAACAAACGTTGGTGCGAAAATTCGACATTTTGATGTTCGACAAATGACCGAAGAACGCTGTACCGAAATTCGGAATGCAAAACCTCACTAGTATTAGCAGCCAATGCCCTTCAACATCTGGCTTTTAATAGTCTTATTTACCGGCATGGGAGTCTGAAGTGGAGAGAGTTGTTGCCAAAGCGAGTCGGAAGATTGGTACATTGTGTGAGGGTAGGTGAGCACAATCTAAGGCTTCCAGTTTACAGGATGTTATACTGCTGTATGTGGCATGCTGCACTCAGCGGCACAAATCCATTCTTTTCAGCACTGCACAGCCGTCAGCTGAACCGACTGCAGCTGCTGCTCAACAGTGCCATCAAGAGTACATGAAAACCATTTCCCGCCTCAGATATCTGGGCCAAATATGATGTAATCACGGAATTTCGCCGTGACAGACACGTGACCCATAGCAGAAAAGGCCCCAACTAATTACTTACTTGCCCAAGCTGCACACTCTGGTTTTCATGTACTCTTGGTGCCATCCATGCGATTGATGGAACACACACCGACCCGTACACACTGCTGCCCCTTTCCGTACCGTATTTTTCGGAGTATAGTGCGCACCTTTTATTTGTATAACGCGCACCCCCAATCTTCACCGGTGTGCACCGGGGGTGCGCACTTCAATCTTCATTGAAGTACATGCATGTCATATTCGGAGCATAGTGCGCACCTGCGATTTAGGGCCTAAAATAGCACATCTAAAGTGCGCACTATACTCCGGAAAATACGGTAAGTGTATTGCAAACTCCCTAATTCACGGGGTTTTCCAGCTCACTTACGTAGAGTTGTTACTTTAGGTAGTGCAGAACCTCTCTATTATGTGCTTTTGGTACGAATGTTCAGGTCTGTGCTTGTGTGTGTGTGTGTGTGTGTGTGTGTGTGTGTGTGTGTGTGTGTGTGTGTGTGT